TTTTCGTCCAATGCTCGATGGTCCACAACATGGGATTACCGCGGAGCTCCTCGCCTTCGGTCGCGCTCTTGTCCATAACCTCCTTCCAGATACTTGCTGAGACGCAATTCCAATTCCATAGAAGGAATTCTAGCCGCGGTTCCCTCAACTTGTGTCTGAAGGGTCTCAATTCCTCATACGGCACCTTCAAGGCGACCAATTTCCTCACCTTCTCACTCTTCTTGGGCGCCATGTATTCAATTTGCGTTTCGCTAATCGCGGGTTGGCTCGATTGCAATTCCTCTCGCTCTTGATCGTTCTTGCTCGATATCGCAATGTCGGCGCGCAGTCTCCTTCTACTGCCTTTACCCTTGAAGCCCTAACATTGCCTTCTCCTACGCCTCGTAGAACTCCCGACGCGTGTGAATCTCGTAAGTCCCGTTGCATGATTTGAAATTGATTCCGATGTCTTTGCCGAAGACGCAGCTCTTCATGCGTCCTAAAAGATTGCGCCGAAGATCCAAAGATCTTCGGACGTAGACAAATTCTAACTAATCCTATCATAACTCCTATAAATCTACTCTTTCCAACTTATATAACTATCTTCTACACACATATGTTTATGTTTTTGTTAATTTTTAAAGAAAAACAAAAAAGTAAGCCCCACAACGCACTGTATCTTTGTTACTCCGTTCGATCTGAAAATTGCCAGGCTTGAGCACCCTGCTCATTGTTAGAATGCCATAAATTTTTAGCCCATGTTCACACTTCAGCCCGAAGTTACGACCCCTGCAAGATTCGGCCCTCCCCTCTCAAAAACCTCAAACCTCCAAGACGTTTGAACTTCTTGCTTTGAATTGCATTCGGTTTGAGATTTTGTAGGCTCGTGCGTCCTGCCCAGCTTCAGCGTTGCATAAAGTTTTAGCTCCATATCACTTCCAACCTCAAAGAAACAGCTCCCATAAAAATCTCTTGCCCTCAAATCTTGAAACTCAAAGCTCGAAACTCAAAATTGGACGCACTTTGTCTCTGTTACTCTGTTCGATCTGAAAATTAACAAGTTTGAGTGCACTGCTCAACGTTAGAATGGCAGAAAATTTCAGCCCCTGTTCATACTTCAGCTCCAAATTACGGCCCCTACAAGATTCGGCACTCCCCTCTCAAAAACCTCAAACCTCCAAGATGCGTGAACTTCTTGCTATGAATTGCATTCGGTTCAAAATTTTGTAGGCTGGTGCGTCCTGCCCAGCTTTAGCGTTCCACAAAGTTTCAGCTCCAGATCACACCCAACCTCAAAGAAACAGCTCCCATAAAAATCTCTTGCCCTTAAATCTTGAAACTCAAAATTGGACGCACTTTGTCTATGGAACTACGTTCAATTTGAAAATTAACAAGCTTGAGCGCCTTGCCTAACGTCACAATGCCACAAAATTTCAGCCTCCGTTCACACTGAAACACGAAGTTACAGCCCCTACAAGATTCGGCCTTCCCTTCTCAAAAAGCTCAAACCTCCAAGACGTGTGAACTTCTTGCTCTGAATTGCGTTCTGTCTGAGATTTTGCAAACTTGTGCGCAATCCCTAGCTTTAGCGTCTCACAAAGTTTCAGCTCTAGATCACTCCCAACCTCGAAGAAACAGCTCTCGTAAAAATATCTTGCCCTCAAATCTTGAAACTCAAAGCTCAAAACTCAAAATTGAACGCACTTTGTATGTGAAACTCCGTTCAATCTGAAAATTGACAAGCCTAAGCGCCCTGCCCAACGTCACAATACCACAAAATTTCAGCCCGTGTTCACACTCTAGGCCAAAGTTACGGCCCCTGCAAGATTCGGCCCTCCCCCCTCAAAAAGCTCAAAACTCCAACACGTGTGAGCTTCTTGGATCGAATTGCATTTAGTTTGAGATTTAGCAGGCTCGTGCGCCTTGCTCAGCTTTAGCGTCCCACAAAGTTATAGCTATAGATCACTCCTAAACTCAAAGAAACAGCTCGTGTAAAAATTTCTTGCCCTAAAATCTTGAAACTCAAAGCTCAAAACTCAAAATTGGACGCACTTTGTCTGTGGAACTCCGTTCAATCTGAAATTTGACAAGCTTAAGCGCCCTGCCTAACGTCATAATGCCACAAAATTTTAGCCCACGTTCACACTGCAGCCCGAAGTTACAACCATTGCAAGATTCGGCACTTCTCTCTCAAAAAGCTCAAACCTCCAAGACGTGTTTACTTCTCGCTCCAAATTGCGTTCGGTTTGAGATTTTAGAGACTCGTGCGCCCTGCCTAGCTTTAGCGTCCCACAAAGTTTCAGTTCTAGATCACTCCCAACCTCGAAGAAAGAGCTTCCGTAAAAAGATCTTGTCATCAAATTTTGAAACTCAAAATTAGACGCACCATGTCTTTGGAATTACATAATCTATTACTCTTCAAATCACTAGCATATCTAAGAAAATGATGTTTCTTAATGTAGTATCTAACTTGATTTTTTATCATTAGAGATGAAACAATAAATCATATAGTTTTTTTTCAGTAAATATGATTAAATATCCATTTTTAACTCATATTAAATAATTTCAAGAAATTAATTATATTGCAATTAGAAATATATACCAAACCAACTAGTTGGATACTTGATTAATGTTTCATTTTATAAAAAAATAGAATATATGCTGGTAATTTAAAGAAAAAAACATCATAATTTGTTTTTAGATTACTCATGAACAAAAGTTAGTAATCCAAAACACAAAATTTAAGGATCAAAAACATGTATTTTTTTTTAAGAAAATGCAGACTAATTTCTTATGAACTTGAGATTTTGATATTTCCCAAGGAAAAAAACTAATCTGTTCACATTGAGACATATTTGATTGATTTTCTCTTTTAATGAAATTTTATTCAAAACATGTTATTCTGAAATTTTCTTACACAAAATATAATAAATTCAAAATTGGTATGATAGACATCTTGAGCAAGAAACTTGATGTGGAAAGAATGGTATACCTGATTTTGATATATATTGTGATATTGACAACTTCAGAACAAAAGCCATATGATAAAGTAGATTTGCTTAATAAATTGTGTATCTTTTTCAACATTGTTTGATTGACAATTTCAAAAATAATATTTTCTTTTTGCGAAGCATTAATCTTGATGAGATGAAAAGTATTTTTTTTTCTTTGCAATAACTTTGACTTTATTTGGAAATTAGTTCTTCTTATCACTATACATGGAGAGAAATAGAAATCTCACTTTGTGTCAAGTTTGAACTTGAAGTTGAATTTTTCCAAATCTGGAAAAAATTTCAAATGTTTATATGAGTAAATAAATCCATACAGATCTTGAGTTTTCATCAATAAAGGATTCATAGTATAATTTTTTAGAGATTGAAGCTTTTGAAAAGTACATACACAAGTCACTATATATATATTCAAGTTACTTTATATAATTGGGAGTTTCAACACAAAAAGCTTGACTATTATGTTTGCTCATAATACAATGTTCACAAAATTTCAAATGAACTTTAACTATGCGGGTAATATATTTTTATCGTCAAAGAGTGTCAAGTACATAATACTCATATGTGCTAACCTAGATTATTATACATGATATATCTCAACTAGAGATTTTGTAAAGTTGATTCACCACACATGACAATAAACATTAACATATAAAGATTGTTGTACTTTTGATATCTTAACATAATCTTCTCACATATTTTTACCTCTAACATTCCCTTTCTAGAATTACATTTAATCTAACATTTCAAGAGATCAAATTATTTATCATATAGGATATAAAATTTACATTTAAAGTTATTTGTTTAACACTATAGTTTGATTTTGTTCTTCTATATGGAATATTCCACTTGAAATCATGTTGTACCATATGTCTAAACATAACGTTTTCATTCATGTATAAACAAAACTGACAATTATTGTATAACAATGAACAGGGTAATACTATGAATCATGATGTGTAAAATTATATAACCATTATGTTTTTTTTAGAATATAACATTGAAATAATTAGAATATTCTAGTTGCTTTGGGTTGTGTTTTTCACCATGTTTTCATAAGGGAAAATTTTCCGGTTTCATGAAAAACGTGATTGACCAGCGAAAATAGGGGTTTGAAAGAATTAGGTGGAGAATAGGATCTAGCCCATAATTTGACTGCTATTGGTGGCAAACCTTAACCTCATGGATTTGGGAACAAAGCAAAAGCCAAAGGTGGCAAGAAAGACACAACCCGGGCGAAAAAAAGAGTAGGTGATTCGTATTGTGACGTGATCTCACCGTAATGATCACCGGAAAAGAGGACGGTAAGATGTTGATACGTCCGGTGAAATCCACTGGTGAAACTCTCTCCGCGGTGGATGGAGAAGCATCCACACGTGCCATGCCCTTCCGACGCAGACAACATTGCGGTAAGTCGCCGCAAGCACGTGGCCAGGACGCCGGATGAGGATAAACTTCAGGCCTCTGTCGTATTAGCAGAGGAAGGCATCCAGACGGCAGAAGTAGACACGTTACGGCGGGAAGAGTCCATGTTGACGTGGAGGCTCGCACGTCGGCGGTCCACCTGGAAGCTGACACGACTTCCGATGATGACCCATGCATGGGCTGCATGGGCCCCCCCGACGGCAATCATGATTATTCGTCCATTCGATCCGACCCATCGACGCGTTCGTTGTTCCTGCATTGTTGGCTCGCTCCGCTTCTGCTGCTCGTCCTCGGCCTCGTCCTCCCGCTCGCTGCTGCTGCGCCCGATTTGTTAAGCGCCCGTTGTGCAAGGCTCTCTCCGATTGTCGGTGCGTGGCGTTAGCCCGAATCACGTCGATCGATCCGCCGTGGGACAAAGCTGATTCTCAGCCCGATCAGCAGATCGGCTAATTGGACCGCTCGCCCACCTGCCGCCTGGCCAAGATCCGTTCTCGACGAGCCCGCGCTTGGCTGACTGTTCCACGGGAGAGTCTCGGGAACGCAAGAAGCGCTGTGCTTGAAATCATATCCGTACTGAGGTGGGCCTCTACTCCACGAGTTTGTTCACTGTTGTCCTTGCGCATGGTTAAACCTCGGAATCGGAGCAGCGAATGGGGCACTTGGTTAGGAAAGGGACTGTTGTCAGGGGGAGAGGGCGAGGCAAGGGTCCGTGTCTGTAGTGATTGGTTCATTCTCACTACTCGGAAAACTGTGCAAGACTCGCACATCCGAGGATCGGTCGGTCTTGTAGCACGTCGAGGGAATTCGAGACCGGACTTTGGAAGAATTGAGATGTCAAATCCGTGTGTCGGAAGGTGTATGCTATCTTGATCGGTGATTTTCTGTGTACAGTTGGGAGTGGGAGTGGGACGGGGACGGGGAGTTCGAGATTGAGTGAAGGGGATATTGTTTTGGACAACAGCGTGCAGGTTAGTGAGGGGTGTGGGTCTACTGGGAACACTTGCTTGGCTTGGGGTATTTGCAATGCGAATGTGTTCCATCGTAGGAAGAAGTATATTTTGACGAAAGAGCCAGCCGTACAACTTAGGAATACGAATAAGATAATCAGGTCTATTTTGAAATTCTTCTTCGCACTAAGCCCAAGTGCACTGTAATTTCCTGTAGTTCTCTCTAGGGTTTTCTTTTTATTCAGTCGCAGTTCTGTTCTTTGTTCAATACGTTTTGCGAGCTCGACGAATTAGACGGAATTCTGTAACGCAGACTTTGCATGTCACAGACCAGGGAATCGAGTGAAGTTCATGGCTACTGCACTTTCTCTCCGGGTCAGATTGCCTTTGCGAATGCGAGGGCATTCCCTTGTCGCTCAGAAGCCTTTCGTGAAGCAAGAAGTTAACTTCGTGAAGCCAAAACGAACTAGAGGAGTGCGTTGCAGTAGCGGGACAGATGATGAGAATTACGTTCCAGCTCATGTTATCGAAGCCGGTAAACTATCTGAACAGTTCTCTTTGGTGTATGATGATGTGGAGTCTTCCTGACCTTCACTAGCTGCTTTCTTGTTCTGAAGATATGAGAAACTGATAGTCCTGAGAAAATCTCGCACGGTCATTTGAGAGAAACTTGTTGTTTGAGATATTAATCCTGAGAGGTGGCGTGTGCGCAGTGAGTATGATGCCATCACAGGGTCAGCTTTACATGACTTTATTTGATGGAAGGGAAGTGGAAGTAAATCATGTCAATCCGACGAAGGGCCAACTTCTTTATAAAGCTAGTACTCCTACAATATTTTTGAAAATGTCTGATGAGTCGAATCTAATGCTTCCAATCGTTGTGGGTGAGTACTATATCGTATTATCGTTCATGTACACCTATGATTGTATTTCATCTTCTTTGATTTGGGAGAGCGTTTCGATTGTTAAGTAGCTGCTTTTCCTCCTTACTTTAGCTGGAATTGGATGTTCAATAAGAAAGAAAAACTTTCTGCTTAACAAGAAATAAATTTTTTTGGTTGTTTGTGAGCAGGTGAGACTGCAGTTGCAATGCTCATGAAAGCTTTACATGATGGCGAGAAGCTGGTACGTGTACTTCCGTTATATAGTTGGCCTGATGTTTTCCAGGATCTTCGTAATGCGACAACCTTTTTCTTATACATCCGCATTCTATCTCGAAACCCATGACCCAGCAGCGCCACTAATTTGCCGAAATTGCTGAAACCTCTTTTCCAGATTTTTGACAAAGCAGGGTTTCTGTGAAATTTTCAATCAGTAAAAAATGCTCATTCTTACTATTATTATAATCCTTCTCACGTACACTCAATCAAAGTATCCTCCCGGACTACTGACGTTCGTGTTTTACAACCTGCAGGGAAGACCGAACCAGTATCAAATTTTGAAAAACATCGTCGGGGCTTTGAACTACGAGGTGCTGTAACTGCCCCTTTCTGGTTTATTCTTGTAGCCTCTTACTTGTTTTTCTCGATTTGATAATGTGGCTGACGATTCATGTTAACGTACTGCCTTCTGTTCCTTCAGGCACGGATGGTGAAGGTCACGGAGAGAGTGCTGGACACTTACTATGCCCGTATATACATTGCCAAGGTGAGAATGGAACTCATGAAAGAGGAATTTATTTCAATCAGTTATTTTGTCTTCGAATCTTGTCTTTGTTGGTGCTTAGTCACTGAGCACTTTCCGCATGCAGCCTGGAGATGAGGAGTTGTTGAGTGTGGATGCGAGGCCATCAGACGCCATCAACTTGGCGGTGAGATGCAAGGTATTTTGTGTAAAAACTTGTTCTATGTAAATTGTGACGTCAGGAGGATGTGTTTGAACAATTGTTTATTAATTACCGTGGAAGTTACAATGCAGAAAGTTCTGAGTGATTTAAGATTGTCATGTTATAGAAGCTCTCTATAACTACGTTTTTCTTGTGACGTCAGTTGCCGCTGACATCCACTATCCATATGCATTTATTTCTTTCCTAGAAGCACTCAAGAGACATGACTTCGAAAATTATTCATTGATACACGAAATGCAATGTAATGCTTTCTATCGCAGATTCCGATCTACGTCAACAAAGATATTGTCACCGCTGATGCAGTGAAAGCTGTCCATCAAACCGTATATCGTAAAAAAACTGCGTATCCCAGGCGTGCCAGACAACATGACGATTTCCTGGATGGGTACAGAGTTCTACTTCTTTCCAGTGTTTGTTGACCTCATTGCTGATGTGCTGATTACACATGTGACTGTGAATGACTAGGAAATTTTTGGGCAGAAGAGGTACACTTTGCCCGTACTCACGAATGAACATCAATGAGATGTAGCGGCAAGCGTGTGGTACAGTGCAGAGGATCAACCATTCATAGTCTAACTCTTAAGTATGGCCCATGCTTTTTGTCGATGATTACAGTGCAGATGACGAACCCGACACCATGGCCGAGGAAATCTCTATCATGAAAAGTATGCTCTTAGCCGTTAAAGAAGAGCGTTATGCCGACGCAGGTATGGTGCACACTTCTAATCTCTCTATCGTCTTAAGTCACTTGGTTGGTGATCCATATTCACTTGTTTCGATACTCTTTTTTAAGAATTCATCCACCCTCATCGTTGAGGATTCATGTGAAGACTACTTCATCTTGATTGGGGAACTAAGGTGGTTTTGAGCTCCAATCCACTCTCCGTCGTGAAAGCACGGAGTAAATTGCTCTTCATTCTTTCTCGCATTGCTTTTTGCTACCTCACAATCTCCTTACAAAATTCTGATACTTGGAATCGATGCATATCCTGGTCGTTGCGCTCAGACTATGGTTATGCATTTCTTTACATTGAGCGATTACATGTTTGTATTATTGCATACATCTATAGACTACTGTCATTGTCTTTTGGTGCAAATAAGTTATGTGTCTGCTAGAAATTCTTCTCCATGCTGATCGTATGCGTTTGTTATTTATTGCAGTGCACCGTTCATTCCTTTGTCTAAATATTTCCATCTTTCTAAATCACTTATTTCCACAATTTTGAAGTTTATATAATTACGTCTCACACCAACCTTGCATACCTGATATAATTCCCGCTTGGTTCGTCTACGTTAGAATTTGTTCAGAAATCATATCTACACCTAGCACTCTCTATTTAGCTTCAGTTGTTTCCTCATGTCTTATGCCTTTCAAACACTATTTTTTCCTTCAAACCGGAAGGTAATTTGCATGACTGCATTTCGTTTTTCCTGTATTCTACTCATGGTAGCGTACGTCACGCCTTCCATTTAAACTTGGATTACATTTTCTCACTATTTACGTGAAACTCGCTCTGTTTTGCTGTCGGGTTTCCTTTCTCTTTTAGTCTGTTCTTTGCATATGTTACTGTTCTACAAATTTCGTACGATGAACAGTCGGCACATATTTTCCATTTTCAATCTGTAACCTCATCACAGCTCTAGTTACCTGATTAATTCTCTTTTCTCGTATCGTTTTATTAACGCTCATTAGTGTATTGGGTTTCTTCTTCTAGACTAATATCCATGTCACAGCACTTGCTCCTGGATTCGTACACTTTTCTCGTATTGGATTGCTATTTTGAGTAGTTGAGTTTGTATTCATCCTTATTCAAGATCTGACCGTAGGTTCCACTGTATTTTGAAGACAGGGCTAGGTCTGTGTTCCTCAGGCTGTGACAGGACATTTCTGAGTGCATTTTAATTCATGTGTCACTTTTTGATTGGCTTTGCAGCTCGTCTGCGGGATGAGTTGTTGAAACTTCGGGCCCTGGCTGAGTGGCAACTTCGCCAGGTATGTATGGGATTGCCTTGCAATTGATTCAACCTTCATGATCCTGAAGCAGGGATGTAACTTCAGAGTGCTCTTTCAAATAGTTTGAGAGAAACTATAAGATGTTCTAATAGGACTGTGCACTGAACCGCTTTACTGCATATCAGCTTGCCATCGTCTTGGAACAGCTTACTGCCAAAGTGAACAGAGTTTGCAGTTGATTTCGCTAGCAGACTAGTGTCTTCATTTACCGCTTGTTAGGCATGGCTCGCTGATATGTGACTTCCTTAGATGTAAATGAGTTATGGACACATGGAAGGATGAATGTTCCTCAGTGTTACTAGGTCGGCTACCGAAGTAGGTCATGGTCCTGCACAGATATACGTCCCGGAGCAAACTCACACAATACGCGTGTTTGTCCTAACCTGTTACGAAAATTAACCTGGTCTGCTGGTAATTTGTAGACGTATGGTGTGTAGACATTTAGAGCATGAGAGCAGCTGCGTACACTTCGGACACCTATCACTGCAGGCGTTGTGCTAGATTCTGCCTCCGCTGATAAACACGTTTTAGAGACGACCTCGTCAGGATCCTCGGAGCTCTTGAGTATATATTGGGGGAAACTGATTAGTATTCTGGAGACACGGAACTGGAAGGTGCTTATGATACCTACTTTTGGAGGAAGCGTCTTCGATGAATCGCGAAGGGATTATACTCTTGGGTTATCCTGTACAGTCAACATTACTAAGAAGAGTATATCCAAGAATCTAGGTGCTTTCAGTTAGTTCATGTTGTCGACTGTTGGTGGAAGAAAACAGTCGTGTGATTAGGACCTTCACAACCAGATTATGATGTACATAGAAGTAACGCCTTTAGCTTCGGATCTTGGGTGTAATATAGTAAAGTAAAGGCTTTGTTACACTTTTACATGTTTGTCAGCTTTTTCTTTTCATTTTCCTCCCGCCAGGGTTTGATGTTCCAAAACGGATTGACGCATGTGCTTGTCATCATTCTTTGCTAGTTACCTCTTAAAGCTCCATTTGTGTTATCGTTCAACGTCAAATGAGGTAGTTGACAGAGGAGTGGGATTAAATGAAAAGAAGGGGAGGAAAAATATGCAATCAGATAAAAATCAAATGGCTTTACTTGTGCTTTAATCTTCACCCTTAAGTTGTTAAAATAAATTAAAAAATTCTACTTACGGAGCGAGTGGCAAGAGGATGAAAATTAGAGAAAATTGAAGAAGAGAAACCGTCACAATTGTAGCTATCAATTTCACTACAGCCCGAGGGATAGAGGTTTAACTTTTGCCGTCTTCCCAAGAGGCATTTCCCGCTGGCTGTACAATTATTTTTGCAGTTCCTAGCGGAGGGGTTAGCGGAGGAGTATGGATTATGGAACAATATCATGAATATGGAGTATGAAACAGTATTTTATTTTCCTTTCTGACATCAAAATTTGTCTTCACGTTTTGTTCTTCTTCACCTATCTCAGTCACTCGTCTGTAAGGTCGTTGGAAGTATATGACAAACGACTTTCAGGTTGGAGTCTAAGATAACTCTCTTTAGATTCACGCTCTCCTCTCGGTACATAAACTTGCAATTCGATCTTCAAAGAACTGAGTACGTGTAGTAGGTACATATGGTGTTATTTATTGATAAATTATTACTACTTGCATTCATTATGCTACTAATTGTGTAATCGAAAACGAGTATTATAATCAACTTCTTTTCTATTGAGGCTACTTCTCTTTAGTAGAATTCACTGTCAATCCGAGACTCCTTTCATCCAGATCTGAACAAGGTGTCGTATATAACTTGGGGACTCCTCTCATCCAGATCTGAACAAGATGTCGTACATAACTTGGTATGGATGGGATATTTCAATACGTAACTTTTGTATGGTGCAATTGCTTGACAAACAATGCCTTCATTTTTTAAAAAATGATACAGATATCAAAGAAACGCATTCTTTCATTCAACAATTTGCTTCTCAGCCTGAAGTTTCTCTCTCCAACGTATCGAACCTTAAGCTAGGCTACATGCATATGATATTCGGAATCAGTGATAGTCTACGTTAACATGAGACTATGTGATGTTACCTAGTCGAAAACTATCTGACTGTAAGGCAACTTCTTCAGGTGAAGAGCAGGCGCGGTGTCTACAGACAGGTTTGCTTCGTTTCGAACATGCGTCGACGTGTAGAAGTGTCAGAGAAAGATGTCATTATTCTAGAACGAAAGTATTGATCTGCCCGATTTCTGTCCTCGCAGTCCTGGAACAAGCTTCAGAACAAATTTTCCTTTCTCCACATTTTATTCTTCAAATAACTCCGCGGGGGATTGAGTGTAGACACTGAGGGATGAAATAATATGCACTGAGGAGTATAAACGTTCGAATGTGCACTAGATACTTAATATAAATCATGACAAAAGCTTCCTAGTTAGATATCCGCGTAATGCATAATACATACCGGTGGCTGTTGAAAAGACGTGGGACACAATTACATCCAATTCTGGTTATAGCACTCTGTTGAGTCTGTAGTCACAGGATGGCCGAAACATCTTTATAGCTTCTGAGATTGTTTGTAAATCTGGCTTTCAACTCAATGGTGCCCGACGACGAGTGCGATGTATGCGGGAACACACCATCACGGAACTTGTGAGCAAAGGACAATTGCAATAATAGGCGGGGAAATAAAGGGTTGAATCCGTCTGCCCAAATGTTCTCCTTGTACAAAAACTGCTGAAGGAAAGTGTCAGAGATCGTAAAGTAGAACGTGTCACGAATGAATGCAATGCCAAAGAGTACAAGCTAGAGCAGTTCACTACTCACACAAGACCGTATGATCACACACAAAAGCTGCTTCAATGTGATGCATCTTTATGTAATCGACACCGCATAAAGAGAATCCGAGAAATTTGAAAACCTTTAATCTAGGGCCCTAGGAAGACTAGGGGCCGGTCATGAAACTTGATCCAGATATTGATACTCCACCAACCACAAAGGCTGCCACTGTAACCTTTCCGGATATAAAATACCGTCTTTCTATGATGACGGAAGAGAAGGCTTCCCCAAACATATCTCCCGTATTCTTCTTACTTGTTGAAAGGTCTCCTGTGCCTGTGCGCAGAAAGTAGATTAGGAAAAACCAAACGTACTGACGACAGTTGTGGTGCTATCTAAAATGACCTAGTTGCCCGCAATTGGATACTTGCGTTTCTACAACATAAAATAAATAAAGCTGGTCAGAAACAAGTTACAGGAGCGTTTGGTTAAAAGGTGATCGTATACAACTATGCTTGAAGAAAGAACAAACAATTATACTCGATGTAAGTTTTAGTAACTCTTAACTGTTTCTTCTTGTCTTTAAAACCTATAAGATAATAAAATAATATAAGTAAAAAAGGATAGGAAGACCCCGTCGATAGTTGAATCTAGTTAATGACTTTTACGTAGTGTTTTTAAGGTGCCAAATGCCACCTTAAGATAGGATTTTCGCGTTCAGCTATCACGCTCAACTGAACTCTGGATATATTGCTAGTTTGACTCTGAAGATCACAATGCACACAGTTCGCCAATAACAATCAAGACAAGCAGAGGCTGTAAAGTATCACTCAGGGCAAAAAGGACACAACACACACCAGCTTCTTGTAATGCTTAGCCATAACATTGGTCCCAGCTGATTCAGCCCTCTGAGTATACATCTCGCCCAAACAGAAATAGAAATTCGCCTGTTCCAGAGAAACTCCGGGCAAAACTTTCTCCATAGAGTTCAAAATCAGGCGACAGATGCGTGATCCCTCCGCCGCATCACCCGAAGCACGGCAGCAATTCATGAGCGGCGTCAAGGCGTCAAACAGGAGTACATTTAACGGGTGCTGTTTCATCTCCAAAATCACAGAATCAGAAGAAATTTGTGATGCCTGCATGAAATGACAAAATATGTTTCACTCGTTGAATTGAGAGATGCCAGCGTCATGAAATCAACTTACCAATTTCCCAGTGAATTGCGATATGTATTGTTCCAGCAGTACACGAGACTCTTTGAAGCGACGCTCTCTATACATACTCATGGCCGAAGCTAGCTCTGCCTCAGCACTTGCGACGAGTTGCCATGGATGGTCACCCAAGGAGGTCGGGTCTACCGGATATGTCGACAATTTTGGATCGAGAAGTCGACCGCACTGGTCACACTTCCATGAAGAACTGTTGTGAAGAGTCAAGGAATCCCCTGGAGCTGATGTTGGATCTTGCTCAATCATGGAAGAGGTTTTAACTACCACGCCTCCACAACCGCGTACAGTGCACATGCAGCCCTGAACAGGTATGAGCTTCAGAATTGTATCTAGTAATACATCCATCCATGCTTCAGAAATCTACTTTCTACAATTAGAGGTCATCTGACATTGTCGCTCGAGTTATGACGAACCATTTACATTCATATTCGCTCAAATGTGAACACAACACAGACTCAATAAATACTGCTTGAAATCTCTCACTAGCGATGAGGACTCACCTCCAGGTAACGATCAACAGAGTGAACAAATGGTTCGGAGCAGCGTTGGCAGCGACAAAGGAAATGTTTGCTGACAGCAAGTTGCATCTTCCTTGTACTCCTTGGTTCATACAGGTTGATGTATGATATGCACAACTGTTTCGGCGGTGCAAGAACGAGAAGTTTATTTTTGTAAGTTTCTCTACAAGATCAGTTGTTGGTTGTAAGCTGTATGAACGATCAACATACAAAATATCTGTACCTACGAGATCAGCGGACATTTCAAATTCCGGTTAAACACCAAAACAAATTTTGAGAATGCTGTTTTCATATTTTAGATTAAATCTTGTGAAAGTGGATGCTCGAGATGACAAACCCAATTTCACTGATAAGGACGTACCTCACTGCCTTTTGGAACATCTTGGGTTGCTCTCACGTACATAACTTTGCCTTCCGAAGAAAAACAACAATTCGGTCTTCACACCAAACGCACAAAGTTACAATGTCAGTGGATCATCACGAAGATCTGTCGACTTCATTCATCTTAATATAAATTGGATGGAGTTGTCATCGTCCAAAAGTCCTGAGTTCTTTTCACTTATCTGAGGAAGTAGTCAGCGCTCATGAATTTAGAAGCAGCATAAGTCATGAACTGCAGCAAGACATGAACTTCCGTTCATGTCATGGCACACTTCAAATCTTTAACAACATATTTCACATAGTTCTCAATTTCCCCATAAACACCTCCTTTTCTTTCAACAATAGTTCCTTCAATCTTATAATTCAAGAAAATAAATGTGTCTTATAATTATGAAATAATGAAATTAGAAAAAACATGTCAAAACCTGAAACTTATCAGTGTTCCTAGATCTCTTCTCATACTTGATCACAGTTAAGCGAAGTCAAACAAAACTTCTTGTCAGATGTGGAACTAACCTGCATGAATGACTGAGCATCGATACAAAGGGAAAGATCCCCACGGCTACGTCGGCATTGTGAAATCCCGCTCCATGTGCCCCCATACCATGTGAGTTTGTATTTACCAATGCAGCAAGAGTTTCCAAGTCATCTGTATGGCATATTGATGGGTTTAGTTTTGATAATAGTAGACTTTATAACAAGCAGCAAAAAAAGCTTCTAAGAAGAACTGATTTGCTCTTTAGATAAAAGCCAGCGTTCTTAGGCGACTAGTCCTAGCTTTTACTCATACAACTTCAAGCTCTTTCGTCAAGTGCAGTTTCAGAGCAGCTCTCACGTTTTCGCTTTATAAAAACAATCATACAAACGGATTCCATATGTAATTCATATGCTACTTATTCAACAGGAAAAAAGAAATAAACGCTTATGATTTATCTCGCATTTAAACAAGGAGATTATACAAATCATAATCAAATTCTCACCTAAAGTTATATCCAAATTATCTACAGATTGAGCTCCCAACTTCACGGCTTCTTCATATAACAGCTGGCATCCCCTTCTCACAGATTCTTTCCAGGCAGGAGTTGCTTTTTCACTATGCGTCTTCAGAGAAATGCAATCCTGAAAGAGGAAGTAACAACTATTCAAAGATTGAATCCATTCTTGAAACACACATCCAGCCAGAGATGACCATGATTTCGCTTGCGCGTACCGTTATGTGTCTAGTCTTCACCCATGAATCTGAGACCTGGGATAAACATACAGACTATTCGTGCGAAATGCAAACAACCATCTGATATCCAATCAGTCGTGTGAAGGACTTTCATATCAGCAGCAGTTCAAGGGCTTGTAACCTCATAGGAAGGATATACTATCCCGTCTTGGACAGTACCATCGTTGGAAAGTCCATCAACAGCTACGCCATTAGATATCTGTTCACAGGCAAAACGTATCAGTTTTACCAGTCAGGTTACTCATACATAAAGTAAGAGCTTATTTTCTAGCCATGCTGATATTTGACAATATTCTAGTATACATGTCTGCACACTATCTCAACCTACTTCCAGCACCATACCATGATACGTCTCGAATTATCGTGTCTTAATAAAGAGCCAAACAACGCATTTGTCTCCTGAACAACTGCAATCATTAGATTTTAGAAGTAACATTTTTTTCTCATCACACTGTTTTTTGATAACTACTTAAAAGACTTGATAGATTATACGAGCAAATTTTCGGCAATGCAGCCTCACTGAAGAGTGGATAACTTTACACATTAAGACTTTGAAACGTGTCCTTAATCTTGTGACACCATGTAGATGAACCTTGCATTTTTAGACTAAAACGGTGCAACAATTTGATTGTGAATCTCTAATTGAGAACTTCATGAGTTGGTCCCAAAACACGTCGTCTAATCTGAAACTCTTATATTTGGATATTCACGCGCACTGCGAAAAATATAACAAAATTCAACGATCCCTGCCAATGTAAAGTCCAGATAATTTACAATGATGGTCAGAAGCGCGTACTTGTTTCGACATTTTTTTGTGACTGCGTCCCTTGAGTACCAAAGCAAAAACGAAGCGTAGAAGATCCTCGTCACAATCAGCAATTTTTGCAATCCCACTGATTGGATTGGAAACTCGACAGAACTGTTTATGTTCCTCCATTGCTCGTCCTTTGCAATCCTGAATAATAGAGCAAGGGACGAGAAAACAGAAGTTATTACTCAAAGATGAATTACTCGTCAGCGCTGAATAACTCGATTAAGGACATCTAACATTTCGCAATTTCATACCAGATTGGAATTAAAAATCTTCGTCAAATTTTGTAAAAGATTTGACAAGATGAAAATTTAAACTCATACTCGTTAGCTCCAATACTTCGAAAGATAATCAACGTATGGTCTCCACACTCTCGAAAGACACAGAAAAAAGACAAAAGACAGCAGAATCTCCGTTGGATCTTATGAGCTTCAAGAGATGCTCGAGATTACATCGAATCTCTGGACGGAGGCTTATCCCACGGATCGAAGTTGTGATTTGATCATATGAAAATGATATCTGCTTAATGATCTGACTCGAGGAGCACATACCTTACAATACATTGCATATCGGCAACCAGGGCATTCAAAAGATTGTGCCGGAGGAGATATGTCACAGCAGCAAGAATGGCACACTACAGAGCGATCATGCCTGCGCGGAATAAACGCGTAACAGTGTTCCGCAACGACGAGCTCTCCTGCCTTTATGTCCCTGCATATTGGCACGATCCTCTTCAATCATCCATGTCCTCAAGAATGATCTGAATAAACATGATCCATATTCTACTGCAGTTCCACCTTGTCTTTGACAAAGTTTCAGTTTCTGATAAAACCACCTTGAATGAATGTAGATAGGGAGACCAAGTACAAGTAATCACTACGTGCCTTGGGGGGCTGGGATGATACAAAGTTCATATACGACTGACGGGTGTACGGAAGTAAGCTGGAATATAATCTTCATCTCTCAACCTCTCGAATCACTACCCTAGACTGCTGAAATAACAATCCATATATCCTTCTGCTTGAGAAACAACGGTGTGTCAAAACCCTCCGTGAATCACTCCCCCAAAACCTCTCATTATTCTTACAAGCACACCTGGATGCAATTGCGCAACGACCAACAACTTGCTTGTTCACCGCTGTCCAGGGAAAGAACTGATCAACAATCTTCTGTGTTGGCAAAGGTTTGTCCGAACTACTTTTGCCTTTACTTTTTTTCTTCTTCTTCTTCTTCTTTCCACAGTTTTTGTCCTCATCAGCATCCGTAGCGGTATCTCCATTCCCGACTGGATGATATCCATTCCCATTCGCCTGAGCCTCGGCGGGGTCGCGCTCATCGAGAGACAGCGCAGCGACTTTCAGAGGATCAGCCGATTCGGAATCCATTGGCATGGTTGCTTCAAACTAGAGAAGGAAACCTCCGAGACTGCAAAAAAGGAAGAAAACGCTGTCACTCTCCGAAGAAGATTTGGCTCTCCATATTCTACTGTCAGATAGCGTCCTGTCGAAACAAGGCTGCAAATGGGGAATCAGAACAAACACACATTTCCATCGCTGATTCACGACTCCCAGCTCCAGTCCCTGCAGGGATTACAACTAAAACAGAAGGACCACAGGCGTCACAAACAGCGAACAAGCAGAGACGGCGCGGAGATTGCACGAGAATCACAAACTTCGTGAAAGCACAAGACAGAGTACGGCTGCGCCGGCGGGAGGGTAGAAGGAAGACACGGAGCAGATGGGAAGCTTTCACAGATCACAGCGGACCTGGAAACTGAATGACAGGGAATGGTCCAACCGCAATCCTGGAGGCAACGAGAACGAGAAATGAAATGAGGTGCAGGGAAGTGCAGGGAACAGAAAGGAATAACGAAAGCTCAAACTCACGCGAGGCACTCGCTGCTGCTGCTGCTGCTGCTGCTGCTCTCTTTGAGCACCTGTGCCGTGGCAGCTGGAACACCGATGGGTGCTAGAAGCAATCTGTCGATACCCACGAGCACACTCAGCGACTCGACTCAGGCGCTCGTTCAGGCGGCTCGATGCTCGACGATGAGTCTGATCATGAGCTCGGAGACGGAGACGGAGACGAAGAAGGAGGAGACGTTAATCATGACGCGCCGCTGCTGCACTTTCCCTTTCGCTGTTGCGCTCGGCGTCGAGGCCACGCGTGACTCGGCACCCGGAGCCATAAAGCGAGACCGTTCGAGGGCACTTTGTCTATACTCCTCGGCGATTCTCCCTTTCCGATGACCTTTTGTCCTTTACGCTCTGACCGGCTTCCACCGGTCATTTCCTCGTGCACTTTACCCCAGCCCAGCCCAGCCTACGATATTCAGATTTTCCTCTGTCGGCATGAATTGAGTAAAGGCTTCGAAATGATAAATATTTTAGTGCGCCTTCGTTTGTTTCGTGCGTGGATTCAATTGCTATGCATCTGCAACAGACGTGCTAGTAATGCATACGTAGTCTTCACTTTGAAATTGAATTTTTTTCCCCAAGTTTCGTGGTTCGCAAATTTCTCATCCAATCATGTAAATGTTTGAGAGAATTTGAAGTGTATCGCCCCGCAATTAACTCGCTTGAACAGCAGCGTGTGGGTATGTTGTGATGCGGATGTTTTGAACTAGATCCGTTAACCGGAATGCAGTCAGTCATTCTCATCTATAGCTTTTTAGTGTATAAAGTGCTGGAAATTGATAGTATAATAAGCAGCAACTAAATAATTTCGGAGGGAAACTAATATATGCATTTTGCGCAATAAAAAAAAGAGAAAAAATCACTACTATTATGGCGATTATTCCAAAGCGTTTGTTTTGTCGCCTGATGACGTTCTTGAATTGGCTTAAGTGATAAAATACTGGCGCAAAATACAAAATTTTTAATCGAGAGTGTTTTGACTTTAATTATGCATTGTTGATCGAAGTAAAAGACATGAAGTTAAAACACAAAAATGATTTTTTAATATCCTACTCCATTATCGTCATGACATCATTGGCAAAAATTCATAATTTTTATTGAGACATAGATTTTTTAAATATAGGTATGATGCTCAAGATTTGGAAAAATTAATGTATCAAAATATTCTATGAATATGTTTAAATTTGATTGATACCTTGTTATTTCAAAGATAGTAATGTGAAAAAAATAAAATTTGATTACAAAAAATTTTGTTCTCTATTGTTGTCATGTTATAATTATGGATATTTTTACTTGTAGTAGATGCACAAGATTGTTAGATCCCTCACTTTGATAATATGACACAATAAGTCAGGATGATTGGACTAAATAGTGTTTCAAGATATGACAAAAAATTATATTTTAAGGTTTGAATGTAAGTCTAAACTCAAAAAAATTTTATTAGAAGCAATCAGATGAAACTAAATGATATTCAAAAAAATAAATGGTGTTAAGTTTGACTTTGCGATCAACCAAAGACATAATGATTATTTTATTTAGTAACATGAATAAAAATACATGTTTAATGAAATTGAAATTGAAAAGTTGCTGAAGCAAAAAATGTACAAATGTTATGACATGATGTAATCGTTTAAATACAGTTGTGTCATGTATCAATTCTCATGTCAAGAATTCAAGTATATTCTCATGTACTTCATCAGAAATATCATAAATATATTTAATCAAGTGAGATGAGATAAAATGATCATAACATCTCATCTCAACTTCTATCTTCAAAACAAAAATCAATGAAACAAACATACAATATCATATTGATGTTTTCAATGATTTTGTTGTGAACTTGCAAGATTGTGATGATGTGTTGTATGATGGAGCTACTTGTCGTATCTATTCCTACATTCTATTTGTTTTTCTCATGAGGTCGTTTCATTGCAACAAAAAAATCTGAGCCTTTAATTGGGTTATGAATGCTCCTTACAATATAAATTTGATAAAGATCTAGGATTAAATCGTTCAATATTTTGAAAACGAATAAATGATATAATTTTTTTTTGGTTTAAATCTAAATGAAGCGAGAGATCTCAATACGAAATTGACTGTGTTGGATGTGTGGCAAAGATAATTAATCTTTATCTATAGATGATGTTAACTTCTTCAAAGTTGATTTCATAAAGCATTTTTCTTGATTGTGAATTGTGGAATATATTGTAGACAACAAGTGGGAGTAAGAAGATCTCTAAAAGTGAATCCAAGTAAGGCAGAAATTCTCAAGATCCAAGTAACATTTTATGTTCGAAGTGTGATAAAGTTGACAACCTTAGAAGAGATTATTGTGGCAAAACAAGCAAGACATTTTCAACCAATTTCCATGTGACAACTTGTGGATTCTGTGAAGAAAAAAAAGGAAAAAAACTGACAGGAAAAAATTGACCAAAAAATAGAGAAAAATAGAGCATAAACTTATAAGTTTTTGGAAAAATCTATATTTCTGGCGTAGTGTATTCATGTATGAAAGAAAACCACATCTCAGTGTTTAAGGCCACAGCGGCCACCCGTAAGACTACTGGGAGATCCTATATTTCATAAGTGGAAGATCCAATCCCTACTCTTGCCAAAGGTAGACTCACCAACCAACTAACCAATGTTGTGGAATTTTTTTTTCTATATTTTACAGCCTTGTGAAATTGTAGAAGATTATGCTAGAATATACCACTTCATATCATAGCAAAGTGGTATATGATTCATGGAGCTACTATGATTACAGCAAGCGTTTGCATGATAGCAAGGTGCTCAATATTCACCCAATGCTTTGCTTGTTATTACTTTTGTAGACGCTATGACGCCATTGTTTGAGACAACCATTGGAATATTAAAAAACAATTTAAAAAGGTTATAGCTAGTGATGAGTATGAATTTAACCAAAGTATAGTACAATATAATTTTGAACTTAAAAAATCAATCTATATTTTACTGTATTAAGGTTTAATCAAATCGACTTGCAAACTCTCTTAATTTTTTCCAATCCACCTACTATCTTGTTTTGATTCCTATCAGCAAAGTTTGGTTTCACTTTTTCATTTGCTAAGAGTGCAAATGTAGATATTTTGAACATGATATGTCACAAATGATTGAAATCCGAAATTACGATCTAAATACAAATTTTCAATTGAAAAGCATATGTAAACGAGATTACGAACAATGAAATTGTTCATGATTTCATTAATATATCTCAATTGTCAATTATAGAAAGAAATTGATTACTTTAGATCAACTCACACTAATATGATTCAAAATTCTCCTAGTTATTAGTATTGTGAATTTTGGGTTGATAAGACATAAATCTGATACTAATGACAACACTCAGATATATAATGGAGCCGATGAACTTAGAGATAAATAGTTGTCTCGCTAGATAAATATTTAGATTGAGTGTCGAGATCAACGATGTAATGAGAAAGTTTAGCATCTTATCCCTTAGATAAATGTGCAAATTTAAATTTATATACTATTATAATATAATATTAAATTCACAAAATTTTGATGCTGAATATTATTTTTAATCCTAATCATAGCTAATTCAAGTTATAATTAATTAAGCGAAAACATTTAGGTCACTGCTAATACCGTTTCAGGCACAGGTAAATTCTGTGTACATTCCAGGAACCCAACGATACACCGAGTTATTCGTTCAAGCGCAAGGTCCGACTGCACGCTGTCATGCGTGACTTCGTTCATGTCCGTTCCTGTTAGTGGCGTACGAGCACATCGAACTTTCCCTTCCATTCTTTGTAATCTCCGTTGCTGTTTTAGAGAATTATAGGTCTTATGTATGGAGAGATTTGTTTGATGGGACACCTGAGGAAAGTAATTTGCTTGATGGGACCCTTCAGGTTTCATTTTACCCGATGGGAACCCATGAACGATGCACCGTCACCCATGTTCTAATAAGGACTAGAGAGAGTGCACCGAGTCCACGGCGCCCGCAGACAGATGGGACTTCGCACTCCGTCACACTCACTTTTTTTTATGTTGTCATTTTGTATCCGGACACTCTCCAAGTAGACGAGCAAAGAAATGTTCATCCGGAGATTTTTTGTTCACCACAAATGGGTGATCGCGAGACTTGAGCTCGGACCACGCTGGGTTACGAAAAGAGTGTGCAGGTGAGAGGCAACAAAGAAATCCGCGAATCTTTGCGATCGGAATAATTGAAGCACAACAAACTGCACTTCGAGCAAAATCGATCTTTGTCCCCGTGATAATACACAAGAAATTAATTGTAATTCCCGCATTGTAACTAGTAGTAATTGTAGTTACAAGAACTATGTCCGACGGCACACCGTCGTTGGGATCCCATCGGGTAAAACTAAACCTGGGGGTCCCATCAAACAAATTACTTTCCGCAGGTGTCCCATCAAACAACTAAACCTGAGGGGTCCCATCAAACAAATTACTTTCCGCAGGGGTCCCATCAAGCAAATCTCTCCTTATGTATGTGTTACAGCGTTATATTATTGGGCCCTCGTAGTATGCATTGTGTGATAACGTCTATTTTGAATGCAACAACATTTGGAGGTTAGTTAAGTGCTCATTTTCTTAAAAACACCATTGATACACAGGGAATCTTCACGCGCTGTGGCTATCCTGTAATATCGGCTTTTTGGCGGCATGTCGTAGAAAATTAATGAGTACGTTTCTCCAACATAGAAATTCACTTCAAAGTTGGAATTGTGCTTGCCATTGACAATTGGAGAAAAGTTCCTTCCTCTGTACTTGGCGTCCAACACAAGAGGAAACTTCAGAACTGTGCAACGCGACCTCGTGATAAAACTCGTAATCACAGGACGTGCATGACTCCACTTGCCGAAAGACATTCCACCTTTACTGATTTGCGAGTCGACTACAACCAAAATTTCTGAGCGCATCTTTCCATTCAAATTACCTCTAAGACGGCTGGTGAGCTCCTCTACGCATCCAGCAATTGACCCTACCCGGAAAAATAGCTTGACTGTCCCAGTTCGTGCCCATTCAACCCCTCCAGCCATCATGCGTTCAGATCCTTCCATCATAGGTCAGGGCGAATGAACTGACTAATGATCGCGTTATCCCAAATCTCATATATAAAACCTTGAATTGACGCTCCTTCTACCCTGTGAAATGCTTCGAATATGTTCGCTACCCTGAAAGGCCGAATAAACTTGTGGCCTAATGTGATATTTGTACATTTTACAAAGAATCATCCTGGAGAAAACGGGATCTCCAGAGATAAATAAATAATTTGCTGAGACATTCGAAAAGACCTCACGAGCGCAACTCCTGAATCAGCTCAACCACGCAGTCCAGGGTACCATCGTTCTGCAAATATGAAGGCCAGGAATTAGATGCCGTAATGATTCAGGATAGATTGTCCAACCTAGCACCGCAACCAGCGTCTCATCCTGAAACAGAAATACAACTTACCAGAACTACGATGTCAAAAGCCCGCCTGTAGGTGTCCAGCCAATTCTCCACATTCTCGTTCCTGCACAACATATGCAAGCGTGTCAAACTTTCGAGCATGGACGTTTAAGACGTGAGGTCAGCGACGTGAACACAAACTATTACTGAAGATCACATCCAAGTTTATTGGGCAGTGGAACTTCTGAGTTTCAATAAAAGCCCGCAGACCTTTGAACATACTGCAACTTACTGCAAAAACTTGCCATTATTTACATGGTATTCAACTGGCCTACAAGTATCACCATCGGCTAGATTGTTTCCAACCCACGTAAAAGCCAAACATCCCAAACGACGCAATATTCTTGATTCTTGGGAATAATACTCTTAGCCAGAGATGGAAGACATACAAAAATCCAACGGAGATGCGGTTATCGTAAGCAACACCATCCGACATGCCAAGGTCCCCCAAATGGTCTCCTAAAAGGATGACATTCTTTCTTCCTTTGATGAATGAGGAACCATTGCCATTCGAACCGACAGAGTGACCTTCCTCGTCATGAAGTGGAGCAGCCATCTCCAAAGCGTGTTCATTCTTGTTCAGAACATGAATTGTTTTGCCTGTTACATGATACCAGCTACATGAGTTGTTATGCTTATATTCATTTCACAAACTCAAAAGAGCACAGAAATTTGACTGATGGAAAAGTAAAGTTCAATCACAAGAGAATGTCGGACGTACCAATAAAGCCAGTGAGGTTGCCATCTTTGTCAAAGTTCATTCTGTTGGAAACGACTCTAATATTTGGAAATGTTCGATGAAGTTTTTGGCGCAAAATCTGTCAGACACGAACACTCTACAGTCATGATCCAATGTCGGTTTTCTACATTTCAAGATTGCAACGTGGAACAGGATGAAGATCTTGCAGGAAAGAGTGACCTGGGCCAAAGCAATCAAGGTACTACAAAGCAGAAAGTACAGGCACCCTCGAAGAAGGGCCATTACTTCACCTCTTCAATGATGTCCGCAAGACCAGCCGAAAAAATCAAAAGAGGAACACCCTCGCCCTGTGTTGAAATTCAAAATCCCAAAAGCCACGTCAAAACGTATAATAAGCCTCCGAGTTCTTTCTGAGGCGTTTGTTAGGAGTTAGAAGAGGTGAAGAAACATGAACAATTAAAGTGCAAGGAGAACCATACGCATAATGTCGAAACCATTCCGACTACGTTTCTAATACAACTCTTAGAGTTTAAAAAATGACTTCGTTAGTGGCACACAGGCAAAGTTGTTGTCCTTACATCTAGAATCTCAAAGAGATCGGCAATCCCTTCTCGAAATCCAACAGTTCCCTTCTCTACCGACTGTCTTATGTTTTCGATGTTGAGACCACCTTCGACTAGTAAACCGTGAGATTTTCCCCACCTGCATCATTCTTTAACTATCAAAGTCCAAAACTTCACACAAAGCAGCTACAACAGTCAAGAGAAAGTCAGACTGAGAAGAGTATTACAGTGCAAAAACATTACGGAACTAGCTTGGAAAAAGTACCATGTCTCCATGAGTTTTGTCTTCTCCTCGACGGGAATGTTCGGGCTGATCTCCATTGGATAATAAATGTCAAACAATTCTTGCCGCTTGCGGTCATAATCAGTGCTCCCTTGACTCAGAAGCGCGTGCGTACCTGCAATCCACTTTTGATACGTAAATCCCATGCTCTGAATGATCTTAAGTTACCAATTGCACTGAGACAACACTCATTGTAAAATTAATTCAATGTCAGGAGAAGGGAAGTGAGTCGGAGAAGCTCGACAACAGATATGAAGACTACTGCTTACTTTGACCACGTCGTCCCTCCACCATATACTTCGTCAACGTCATATCAAAATCTGCGATGACCTGTGGCAGTAATCTGTTGGAATTATTACAAATTCACAGTTTTAGGCAAAATCGACTGACGCTAGTTACATCCCAGTCTCCTATTCAAGCTCTTTGACGTCTCTCGCTCGTTCCAAAAAGTTTAAACGCTTGACGCTATGGGCCAACCAGGACCTGCTGAGGAAGAGAGATATGCACCTGTAGAACCGAGTGTTACACATAAGGACTCGACCGAAGATGACACATTCACACAAAAAATTACAGAGTTGGTGGCTCATACGCAACAACATTGTTCCAATTGATAGTAACGATAGATTTCGCTATGAAGGCTGATGAATCAAAGTACCTGCAACGATGACATTCCAGCTGCTCTAATAGCTGCCTTCTTCTTAGCCAATTCATCCGGGTTGCCGACGACTATGTTCGATATCCTACTGGGGTTGGCGATGTTGGGAGACTTCACATTCAACGTCTGCTGATCCATTTTTGAACTGGTGATAGATCGTGCTCTATACCATCCAAATCTGGAAAGAGATGGAAGAAAATACAGAACCGTTAAAATCGAATCGTTCTCGCGTGTTATTGCCATGACATGCACAAGCATAATCAGTGATCAAATATTTGATAAAACGCCCTGAAAGAAGTGAACAGGTGCAAAACGTTCAATTTTGCTTCTCAACACGATCATGTAAAAGTTCTCTCCCACTCATGCCAGCCAAACTGAGCTCGAGATTGTGAATTGTCAGACTGTCTGAATATACGAGATCCTCGGAGACAGGGAGGGCATTGACGAGGTTCTGGACAAATACGCTGTCGAGCTCTACAAGTTTTACGGTAGACACCTACAAGCAAGGATGTGGAATCCGAGTCATTACTGCTGTAGTTCTCCAGGTGGATTTGAACTGGAGAACAAACTCATGGAGTGAGACCTGGCAGATGTCTCTCCATGCCCCAGAAGATCCTCAGTCTCACATCGAACATACTGCAAGGACCATAGGACCTAAGGGCAAATGCTACATTGTACGAGACAACTCCTGTCTGGACAGAGAAGTACGGACACATCGGTCGACCTCGTTGCTGCATGCAGACGATAAGGTCCACCAATTTCAAGTATATAAATCGTGCTTCGAAAAAAGCACATAGTCTAAAATTATTGAGACGTCTAATTTAGCGACACTTCTACACAGAAGAAGAAAAGATACAAATTCATCAGACTTGCGGTGAAATATGCAAAACCAAACCCGGTGGAAACGAATTCAACGTCGAGAGAGTCTGTGTGAGTGCGGGAGGAAGACTGTGCCAAATGACATGCAGGTCAGGGAGGGATTAATGAACGGAAGGGAGGCAGGCAGGCAGGCAGGGGAGAGGAAGGATGAGGAGCGAGAAAGGGCATACCGGGAGTGAATTGGAGGACCGAATGGCTTGTGCTGGAGGGCTCGAAAGGATGGGCCACTCAGGCGAAGAGGAGGAGCAGCGCTAGAGGGAAGAGACAATGAAGAATTGGACATAATATAAGGTGCGAGGGCGGCCCGGTGCAGGCGAAAAGTCGAAACGCCGGACAGTCTCCTCGCACGGTGCACCCCTTTCTCCCACTGCCACACTCCTCGTGTCAAGCGTCTCCATGGCTGCGCCCATCCTGCAGCCAACCCCCTCATATACACTGTCGATCAATTTCGCTCCTTTTCAAATCCCCCAAAGCTAGAGAGGCCTCCTCCAACCCAGAAAAGTCACTCGACTCAGTTCCAGTTCACCACCACCTCCACCACCTGACCGACCGACCGACCGACCGACCGTGCGAGCAAGCGAGCGAGCGAGCGGAACGGGGAGGCAAGGCAAGGCAGCGCGACGGAAGAGAGCGAATGGAGAAACTAGAGACAGATTAGAAAAAAAAATTGAGGAGATTCCGATTCAGCCCAGCATCAGCCCTCCCCTCCTCCCCTGCAGTCGCGCCCCAGTCCCCTTCCGCCCTCTCAGACACAAGTCAGTCAGACAATCAACTTCTCTCACTCCCGCTTTCTCTCTCCTCTGCTCGCCCGCCCCTCGATCTCCTGCCCCGTCGTCGTCGTCGCTTTTCTTTAATTCGATTTATTCCTGCTGTCCACTTTTGCCTCCCTGCCCTCCTCGCCCTCGCAAATCCTCACCCTGCTCCTCTGCTGCTGCTCTTCTCGGCTGCCCTCCTCTTCCTCTTCCTCTGCTCTGCTCTCGCTGCGTGGCCTCTCCTCTGTCAGTCTGGCTGGGACTCTTCCGCGTCCACCTCCAATCCCACCCCCAGCCCCAGCCCCAGCCCCGATAACTCTGGCCCAGAAAGGCGACCACGGTCCTTAGGGTTAGGGCGGGACGGAACGCAGTCCGTCCCATCCCGTCGGGGATCGGGAGCGGAACTCGGTAGAGCTCATCCCACCACGGTTCGTACGCGCAAAGTGAGTGAGGGAGCGGAGCTAGGGACCGTGGTAGGAGGGCAGTTGGTGCGACTGGGACCGGGCTCGCTTTTCCCTTTCTCTCGCACTACGCAAGGGCGACACGTCGTCGTGCGGACAGATGGCTATTTCGAACCTCCTCGCAGACGACGCGACGCATCCGTCCATCCATCGGAGGACGGTCGCCCAGGAATCGCTCCGCCGACCCTGGGGGGCCTCCTCTGCGCTAAGGTGAGCCGAGCCCGGAGTCCCGACTTCCCGGGACCGGACAAGACGAGGACGGCCGTCGAATAGCGGACAGCTCGCGGGACGGAGGGAGGGAGTCAGTGAGGGAGGCGACCGGCGACCTCGAGCCTGGAAGAGGAGAAAACAACTCTTCGGCTCCCCGGGCTCGGCTCGTGTCGTGCGTGGGCTCGTGCTGGGGGTTGAGTGAGTGTGGCTCGAGAACAAGGCAAGACATCGCTCTCGTCGATCGAAGAAAAGGGCGTGGGTAAAAGCGATGCATAGGAGTGCGAAGCAAGTTACTCTCTGCATTATCTGCCTACCTTGCATGTGAGCCAGAGGTGGATCCTGCTGCTCGCAATCGGAATCTCTCCTTCACGCACAGTTGCTCTCTGACTCGTCTTCCTGCTGCTACTACTGCTCTCGCTCTCGCTCTCGATCTCGATCTCGATCTCGATCTCGCAGAGCGTGACCGGATTCCCTTTTCCGTCTCTTCCGTGGTGTGGTGGTTATTGGCTCTGAGTTCTCGTTGTCTGTTGGGTTCTGCTCTGGAAGTACAGGCTACGCTGGCATGCTGCGGTCTCGCCTCGTACAGGCTAGACCCGCAGCAGCAGCAGCACGGGCCTGGATCTGGATGGAACTGCATCTGGCTCTGCCCTCTGCACTTCTTCTGCCTGGGGCTGTAGGGTCCCATGGGCGTCACTACAGTAGGTGTTTGAAGTTGTTGGAAGGCGTTTTGTTGCTTGTTTAATTCTGAGGCGACTCGCGTGCTTTGCACCGCCCTACGAACCTCGATGGCGAGGTGCTACTTTCCATCATCTCGTCAACCTCAACCTCCACCTCCGACTCTGGTGGTGTTTGCTGGAGTCGGTGAGTGCTGCGGCCGCAGGTTATAATTGGCTTGTTTATAATTGTACATTACAGCGTCCAGGTCTATGTTCTACAGGCCATCGATGATCATTCATTCTTCTCTGGATATCCCGACGAGACTTGCTTCGGTCATCGAGCTCCTCGGCGTTGTTGTTGCCGCAAAGACATTCCATGTTCTCCAATCAATCACCAGCAAAAACAAATGTTGGATTCTAGCACTGGACCTGGTTTGTACTCATTTTCACCGCCAGAAAATGACGATGTGTCTGTCACTGCTTTTTAAGTAACTATCATCCTTCGACTACGTCATGATGGACCTCCTCTGTACATTCCGTATGGTCTCGAGAAGTACGCGAATTGTCTAAAACACGATTCAAGTCACGATTGTCACGCCGAACGTAGTGCAAACGCCTGGAGCAGGTGGTAGTAGATGCACTGTCACGTTTGAGGAAGCAACGGTGCTCATCATGATTAAGAATGGCTCCCAAGATCAAACGCAGCACATTGTGAGCTGAGGTAAGCGAGATCCTGGCATCAGCAACTGCACTTCAGACATGAAATCATTCACCTGAGTCTCTCGTCTAACTCTACCCGGTGTTAAAAACTTCTGCCACCCCAAGAGCTGCGCGTGACTCCGTTAGTCATGGAACCTCATTGTCGTCTTCATTTTCTTTTTTCACAGGGCCTACTGTTATGCGCTTTACTTCTATTTTCCATTCTCTTCCCACTGCTCTTATGCTCGAAGTTTCCAAGCAGCATGACGTTGAACACTGTTATGTCTACAGAACCCATTACACCTTCCCATGACTTATCATGAGAGGGGGACCTTTTCTTCTGCCCCACCACATTCCAAATTCTATTCTTCCTGTTTGTTGGATCTTAGTGGCCTCCTCCATCTCAACAGATGATCCTATCAATCTATGTTAAGTTAGTCTGAGCATGAAGAAAACTGCTCCTGAAGCAGTAACGCGAGAGATTTCCAAACGACTGCAAACTTTGAAGGTTACGGTGAATATTACCCTTATTCAGGTGTGAAGATTACGAAGGTCATATTGACAAGTCTCAACTGACATCAAATTTTGGAAATGTTCTGATATGCCATTTTAAAAGGGAACCAGTGCACACGTTACTTATATAGTTGATTGATTGATAAATTTTGATCATGAGTCGTCTAAAGATCTTCCATTTTATATCAATTGAAGGCGTTTGATACGGACTAAAATCCTCCTCTTAGGAAGTAATACAGAATTTAGGTGTCTCTCAACAGTTCTCCATAGGTCCCCAAACAGAGTGTAGGCAATAAGATACGACTTACATGACATAAGGTCTTGCTTTAACAAAGGTCAGGTGCCTCTTGCCCAGTCTCATGGCATAGAAAAAGAAAAAATGAAAAATCAAAGGATGTCGGTACCAGTAACATGACATAATTAAGAACAAGCTTGCTGACGGAAAGCTTGAAGTAGTGAGATTATATAGGAGAAGCGAAGCAACTTCTTTTTGAATGTCTACGGGCGGAAAGTCAATCATTCCCTTCGGATTTTAGTTTTTTCGTTCCTTTATCTTTCCATCATTATTTCTGTCTACCTGCTTCAAGTCTTCGCTTTTGCTTCATGTGCAAATGTTATGACATTTAGCTGACTTTGTGCGCGTCCAGGCTTTTCTTACTTGTGTTGTGGTCATGTTGTCCATTCTCAAGGTGATGCATATTTATATTTTTTAGTTCACTTGTATACAAAAGCTGTGGCAGGTCTTAAAGGTTCGACTGTGAAAATCCCACAAAAAAATGTGTACATGCTTCTGAAGCCAGCACTTTAACTGAGGTATTTGGCTGCAGCCCATGAAAATAGTTCTGTCGTAGTTGCATGATGAAAGAGTTTTTTCAGAAGTTAGGATACCGAGAAGTACAAAATTTATGGCAAAAGTTATTTCCCACTTTTGAAGTCAAGTACAGGAAAATATAATGCACATCTATCAGCTTTCTCCAGCGATAGATAGAAGGCAGCTTTACAATCTCCAAGATAACACAGATCTTTGGACACATGAACCCCCGAAAAATGGGCTAAATGTTAGGCGTGTTTCACCAAACCCAACTTACTCTGCTACTGTACAGTACTGTACAACCTTCTATGTCGTACAGCAAAGTGAAGTCAAATCGATAATATTCGTCAAAAATTGAAGTATACCGGTGGGAGACTTATGGAGACAATGCCGGTCAAAAATCAAGTTATGGAGACTGTTGTGATCATCCTAGAACAAAATGCTTTCTGCAAGGAACCGCCATGGACCTGTAAGTGCTTCATTCGGCGCTAAACATTGAATGCAACTGGTAGATAATATTGTTACAAACTGCAATACCACTCAGATTCCACAGAAGTTTTACATACCGAACACATGGCAGCTTGAGTAGGATCCTCATCTTGCTAGACAAAAGCGGAATTCACATCTGTGAAAACAATTAAGACCTAGCCGTATCTGTTCATCTGTGATGCATACCCACGATCAAGTGTCATGGATCAGAATGCGCTTAGTTCGTGCTGATGTGTATGCACGTCTTATTCCAACGATTGCATTGAGAGTGTCATGGCCACTGCGCTTACTGAGGGAACACGACCAAGTACGTGGTGGAAACTGGTATTTTAAATATTTTCCAGTTTTTGCTAGGAACGATCATATGACCGTATTTTAATCGATTTCAATACGAGGGACCCACAAATTTGCTTTCCATATACAAAAGGTGCTGCTACTTGCCCAGGTTATCCTCAACACGCCATGATGTTCAGGCACGCGGATTGTAGCAATCCGTATCATTCCTAAAAGTTGCTGCTTTTGAGTATGTATCCTTTTAAGATGCATCTGTCATCTTGACAGCTACAGCCTTTGAAGCAACAGTTCTAGAGCTTTTAGAAATGTCCCAAAGCTTTCTCAGCCCCTGTAGTTTGATTCAGTTCTGCTCATGAAAACTTTCGAGTATCCTGCATCAGAGTTGTTGAAGAGAACCTTTGAAGAGCCCTCATTATCAATGGGGACTTTGACAAAACCGTCCAGCTCATGGTTCATGTCATGGGCATCATCCGAATCTTGACTCATCTCTCCAAACCCCTCATCGAGAACATGTTTTATGTCAACCCATGATCTTCCATCAAAGTTGATCTGGTAAAGATTTTCGTCCTCCTCATGCATATCTCCTGAAATTCTGAACATCTCTGGTCTGAGTTCCATACTGGGTGTACCCCGGATAAATGATGCTGAACCCATCTTTTCCAGAGCTTGTTCAAGGCTTTCAGATATCTGACTCATAGTGGGACGCTCTTTGATTTCTTCACCGCAGCAGCGAAGTGCTATCTTCACCATCAGCAACATTGTGTCTTGGTTGTAACCTTCTAGGAGAAGTGTTGGATCCACCACCTCTTCGAAACGTCCATGTCTCATACAGTCTTTTGCCTGCATGGATAAAAAGTGTTTGGTCATGCGTTTGATGATCTCATCATAGCCCCAATCACGCCACCAACTGTTCCATTGACGTCACAGAACCTGGAACGAGTACACTTTTCATATAGAAGCATACAGTTTGCTTTAAAAAACCTCATGACTGGTTCAACTTACCCACGCCACAATATTATAATTCGCATTTTTTCTTGTGCGGTCGACGGCAGGTTTTGCCGTTACCAGCTGGAGAAGAATAACCCCGAAACTATAGACGTCAGTAAATGTACCCACGTGCCAACTCAAGTAGTAGTAGGGATCAAGATATCCAGGAGTTCCTTTGATTCCCGTACTGATATGGGTTTGATTGCCAACAGGACCTGTCTTAGACAGTCCAAAATCTGCTACTTTGGCAACGAGATTTTCGTCCAGCAAAATCTGGCACAAAAACAGTAAGTTTCAGCTAGAATACTTACAAACTTGAAAGCAAAACCCCAGGACGGAGAGATGGTAGGGACATATATAGACGAATGATAAGATGGAGTAGGTTACAGCAGAAAATTATTCTTCCCACAAACGTGTTATGCCCACGACAAATGACGGAGCTTAGAGATAACATACGTTGCTGGGCTTGATGTCCCTGTGTATGATTGATGGGGTGCATCCCTCATGCAGGTACGCCAGGCCTGCGGATGGAGCAATTTAACTATGCAATCAAAGTCTGTTGATACTTAACGCCTTATCATTTTCGCACATTGAAGATGAATCGTTCAGGTTCACTGGGAGACCCTATTTTTTGGTCTGATCTAATATTGTTTCTACTCTAAGAGAGATTGCAAAGCCTTTTTCTCAGCATGCAGTACAAATTTCAAGCGAAATGTGGTATAATTATAATCTTGACATAATTTGCTGATCAAGAGATGGCTGATGATAGGAACATACCTTTGGCGCAACAAATTGCAATTTTAACTCGTTGTTTCCAGGTTAATGGAGGTTCTCGTTTACCTGCCCAGTGTCGTAATAAGTGATAAGCATGTCAAAAATAAATAAATAAATATATCTATATATATGATGGTTTCAAAGCTGTAAATGATGATTTAAGAGAAAAGTCGAGGGATTGAAACGCTTACCAGAGAGATGCTCAAATAAATTTCCGTTAGGGACGAATTCATAGACCAGCATTTGCTCGCCTGGCAAGCCACCGAACAATCTATCATTACCTCAATGCGATTGTTTTCAGAAAAGTTTTGAAACTATTCAATTGTTTATCAAACGATACCAAACTAATGTTCCACTCAATTTATTCAGACTAAGATGGCCAGGTGGTAGGCATTCGCCTACCACCTGACCATCCTAAGCACACTGTATTCGGATGCCCTAGTTCTCACATTAGCCTCATTCTAACATTTAAGTACGCCTTATAATAACCTGCTCATAAATGACACGAGACGTGAAAAATACTGAGGCATGGGAAGGCACATCACACCGTACAAGGAGGACTGACGCCAAGCAAAAGACACGAAAGACGCCGCAGGAATAGATATAAGGATATAAAAAGAAATAAGGAAAAAAAAAGTGCAGATTCACACCTCGTTCTTCACAAAAACCTATTAGGTTGACCAGATACTCGTGACGAATCCTTGACAGAAGCTCCACCTCTGTAGAAGTACGTGAAATTAACCGCTCATCAAGAATACAACTTCAACACTTTGCTCACTCCTCTAATGATGTAAAGATGTATCGCTTGCAAGCATTTGTTCGCACTCTTCTAGATCGCTCTGTAGAAAAGCATTACAAATTCAAAGATAATAAAGAATGACGTAATAAGAACTTGGAAGCATATATGGCTACCATTATAGAACTCCTCAAGGCCTTGTTGGGCATCTTTGTGTGCATGCTTTATGGCGACTTCTTCTCCAGAAGGTAAAGTCGTTCGGTAAACAACACCGAATCCCCCCTGGCCAACTACATTGTCTACACTAAAGTCGTCGGTAGCAGCCCTGAGCTCTTTCAAAGTGAAACATCTTGTGCTGCTCCTAGTTTTTTCAGAAATTGAGGTTAATTTTTGCCTGGTAGTCGGTGGCAAGGATCTCTTCCGAGCAATCGAAGCTGCAGAATTACGGAACAAGAATTGCATGAGGACACTTGAAACGATGACGTATATCATCGCCGAAACAGGTGACAAAACCTGCAAGAGTCTTATATTTGTCAAGACAGTCAAATTGATACGCAGTTTGTGATGTTTTTAAGGTCAAGAGCAAACTGAAAAGAATAGATTAGACATTGGAACCGAAGAGTGAACACATGAGCATTTCGTACCAGCAGCTTTTACTTCTTGTCTTCTCTGGTTGCAACATCTGCATATCCAGTACACAGATATGCCCAGAAGGCAGAAGGCCGTTACTCCACCAAGAATTCCCAATACCAAAGGCCAATTGAATTTCTTAATTCCCCCTGAATCCGCAACAGGAAAGCATGCATCGCATGCATCGAGAAGAGGGTTGTTGTCATGTCTGCTCGCACACACATGATGACATCAAGGTCAGTGAATGTCATCGATTGGTAGCTCGTCAAAACTCACTCACGCACGGCATGTACATGTTTGAGAGATAGAATCTGCGACCAGCAATATCTTTAGTCATGTGTAAGGATGAAACAGAAAGACCATGAATGTGCACTTCGACAACAATAAATTTTCAGACCTGTTATCAAACTACAATATCAGGGATAGAATTTGACAACGATAATGACAACTAGCAGCTTCATCCATCAATTTGAGTCTAGGTTTGCTTTGGGAAAACCCCATCTCCGAAACTTTTGGTTCAAATGATGATATATGAATATAGATGTCTATAGTAGTCCTATTTCTTCGTGCTTATATCATACCAGTTGTTTATTCCTTGAACTTTGATGTAATCATCTATTAACGAGCGAGTTGAGGTGGAACTCATCTCTTTGCTTGAATGTGATCAGATTCAGTCTCACCTGAAGTTAAAGTGAGTTGACGTTGGTACATCTCCACTGAAGTTGTTGTTGCTTATATCACTGTATCAGACAGATAGCTACAAAGGAATGAGCACCTTTCCAACTTTACGCGGTGTTTTATGTCTCCCTTAAAGTAAATAGGCACTCAAGAACGTAACTTGAGTACTGTCGCTTAAGGTCTAAATATCAGGCAAGTTCTCAACATATTTCAATGTCAAACTTATGAATTAACTTGTGCCTCTTCAGTCAGTTCGATTTTGATGTGAAATATTTTGCACTAGAGAATAAAAAGTCAGAGGCAGCAGTCAATTACAGTAAAAGTGAAGAGTTATCTCACAAAGTGGCAATTTGAGGTAAAGCGAATAGCTGATGAGGAATTGGACCATCCAGCTTGTTGCCACTCAAATTCCTGAATACGATTAGCTGCAGTTAGCAATTGATCGAGAAAGACATGTCAATTAATTCGATTCGAGTGGAGAGCAAGAAGGCAGATGGATCCATCTTGATCAGATCTATTTTGTCCTCTTCCACTTTTAGGAGCTAGCTTGGCATTGGAATACAGAGACTAGCATCAGCCTGATGCTTGTCTTTGTAGTGCAAAGCAAAGCTACGTTGAAGACTCGCATGTATTTATCTCGTCGGGGAGCTACTTGATTCATCTAGAATCAACGATGGTCGACGATCCAAAGACACAAACTTACATGTACATCAGATTGTCAAGATCTTCAAAGGACTCTGGTATTTGACCTGTCAATTGGTTGTTGGCAACATTCCTGCACATGAAGGTTATTTTTTTTATCATCAGTAACAGAAACATACAAGGAATATACGAATAAATGATGGTTTCACAAACTCGCTTCATTGAAAGATCTCAGATGACTTTCTCTTAGCAACTGAACAGTGTAAAGTCCTGTAGTTAATGAGCAAGTAGTATTCCTGGTGAAAGATTGTTACCTACATCTGCTTAAGATTCTTTAGGTTCCCAAGAGATGCTGGAATCGGTCCCGTCAAGCCCATGCCAGGTACAGAATTGTCCTGATTTACATGCCTGCTCAGATCAACAATGTCATCTCATCAGAAAGGACCATACAGAGACCAGACTGCATCTGAGTTTTGGAAGACGTTTAGATGCGCATGACCTAACGTTGGATTACAATATCCACATTGTATTCGTCACTCTCACTTACAGTTCTTGAAGGAGATCAAGATTTCCAAACTCTTGAGGAATAGGGCCAGATAGACGATTGTTATCAAAAAACCTGCACGTCCAGCCAAGCGTGTAGAATCATCAGCGAAACAAGTTTTACTTAAATCCTTCAAATGTCAACAGATGTATCGGAACAGACACAAAATTCATTGAGCCGATACAGTCGGATGTAGGTTGTAGAGAGAACTTACATGAAGGAAATATTCTTCATGTTTCCCAAATCAGCAGGCAAAGAACCCGTCACGTTCGTCCTTGCAATACTTCTGACATACGATATATTGTTGTCAGCTTTCAGTATTGATCAGCTGAAGTACTTTGAACGCGAATTCTCGTCCCAAGCCTATGTTTGCAAGAGAGGCAACTACGATACTTTGACGTTTTAGTCCCAACATTCGATCTTCCCGAACACGAAATCGAATCGAAGTTCACAAATTTCACAAACCCTTTGAATTTAATTTCAAACACTTGTGCTTCCCACTTATGATCATCTAACATGACTTTCCTCTTGCTATCCAAGTTCTGTTGGATAGCAAGGGAGAGGATCATCATTGAGTCAATCTTTGACCAAGAACTTACATATAATAGATGTTCTGATTATTGCCCAGTCCTTGTGGTATAGACCCTTCAAGTGGGTTACTTCCGAGCCTCCTGCGGACGATCATGTCTCGATCAGATCGACTCATGTATATCCTTCTATCAAGTCCTTGGTGAATATCAAGGACTTGATATTCACCATAACTTGAATAATAAATTCTAACAAAATTCGTTTCAATTGTTAAAATATCGTTACTTATTGAGATGAATATACTCAAGTACGTGGAAAGCCATTATTTTGATTCGTCTCCATCTTACAATTCTTGCAGATTAGACAGATTTCCCAGACCGACAGGAATGTTTCCTGTGAAGCCATTGTTTTCTAAGTTCCTGCACAACAGTCAACAATATTATATTCACTCTTCCACATGTATAGCACCTCGCAAAATTCTGCGTAGAAAACAACGAAATTGGTTCCGAAGGCCGTTCGCAATCTAACTATGTGTAAGATTCTTCAATCAGAGCAATTCATGCTTCAATTATCCAAGTTACTTGTTGCAGGAGACTTACAAAACTTGTAGAAACTGAAGATCAACAAGTGAACGACTTAGAGTCCCAGATAAAGATTTGTTGGACAGATTTCTGCAGAGAAGATTTGGTAAACATGTGGTTGAGAATGTGACGGGCATTGTTAGATCGTAAGAGAAAGCAAATACAAAGGCGTTCAGTGATTAAAAAAAGACGGCCTAGCAGGCTGCTAACTCTAAGAGATTTTGTAATGCATGCACGGTAACGTATTGACGGCTGAGATCTCGTCGAATTGTTTTTCATCGAATAGAATATAGTTTCCCGAAAGCTTATTCTTCACCGTCAACGAGTTCATATTTCAAAGAATGAGAACGCCATTCGATCGTGACCACTCTGTACTTACAAAGCTATCACACGGTTCATTGAATTACACTCAACATTTGCCCAAGTGCACACATCTCCTCCAGTTTTCCACTCATCCAAAGTGCCAAGTGGATCACTTGTTACTTTGTTCCTGATGTTCAGTAAAGCGAGCTCTGCCAAACATGGTCACCACATGGAATTAAAATCAAAAATGTCGAAAATACTTTCATGTTACTCGAGTTCTCCAATTTCTTCAAGGAATAAAGTCAGAATATTCTCATTTCTGTAATTGTAAATTCACAAAGTTATCTCACAACAAGCATCGATGATTCTAATGAGTTCAGGTTTATCGAGTTCAACTGGGCAAATTTTGAAAATCACTTGAAGTTGTGAATACACAGATGCATTACAACTATAGGACATCACCACAACATGGAAAAATTGCTTGTCTAGATTTTAATGTATGACGACAGTGCAGAAATGAATCTTTAAACTGGAGCCAGCACTGTGATCAAAGGCTAAAATGAATGCGCATAACGTAAATCTTACCATCAGGCGATCCCTGAGTTACGATGAGCTCCAATTGCTGAAGGAAAGTGAGAACAAGAAGAAGAGTTTTCAAACTCTCCTTGCCTGCTGTGAAACTGGTGCGTGAGCTCAACATGCTTGGTGAAGTTAAAGGCGGTGACTCTTCAGAAGTGCCCTGCCTCGTTTTTATGTACTTTTCCGCGCATATACCTCCATTGCACCATGACACAAATATATTGAGATATTGAATGAGATGGAAATGCATCAACTTATGAAAGGATGGCTGTATCAGACGACATTGGAGTACGAAATACAAGTTCTAGTCTAAAGCTTCTAACCGTAATGAGAATGCGAAGAAAACAAAAGCGCATGTCCAGTTCTGCCTTGGGATGAACATTTGAAAGTAAGGAAATCTGGTATAATCTATCGAGACCAAAATAGTCAACTCAGTTTCGCACATTAATTTTCTGGAAATGTTAGCCATTGCATTATCTTGAAATGTGGAGAAGGAGCTCGTAGATTTATCCACGCTAAATGGACCGCAGTAGGACTGAATTGAGTAAACCCGGGACTCACATCTTCCATGAGGTGGTAGTTGTGGGAATGAGCTTACCATGACCAGTGGAGATCAATCGATGGTACAGCGCCTTTTTGAAATGCCTGATCACGACCTACCGTAGTACTAAATGTCGAAGTACAGATGAGAATCCAGCTTCCAAATCACAGATTTTGAAAACTGGACTCCACGCTGAACAGTTGGCAGAGTTGTCGAATCACAATCTGCAGAAATCGAAGGCCACTTCAAACAGTAGACGGGATTTCAATCAACCGGTAAAGATAGGCACTGCAATGTTTCAAATTCGAACCACCTTAGACATCAAACGATTCAATTCAGACTAGAAGAGACTGGTAATGCCGAATCACGTAAAGCGTAGGAAATGACCAGGTGGCATTCGACCAGGTGACACTATGCAGACTTGGCGATTGAATCAGATCAGATACCTGAAGGTTTGCCATCGTGTCTACTCCGAATCTGCACAATGTGCACAAAGGTCAGACAGAAGAAATGTACGTCGACGTCGAAGGCACGAGCGCGGCGCGCCAAATTCAGAAATTAATGGAAATTCACACGGCACGGAGGGAGGGGGGCAAGCGTGAGGAGGACGGCGGTGCGGTACATGGAGAAAGCTCGCGGAATTCGGAGGAGTGAGTCAGGACCGGGGCCCGTCTTTTCCCGACCGCGATCTCATCCACTCGGATCTTTCTCGATTGTGCGAAGTGCCTGGTCTTCGGATTGTCCGAACTGCCACGAGAGATCGACAATGCAGCATTCCCTCCCGCGCGGCGACGCTCCAAAGACTTGCAAAGAAAAGAGCGAGAGCAGATCGGCCCGCCCATCCACCTTCTAGCCCAGGGCCGGCACAGTGCGCCCCGCACAGTGCCCCGCCCCCGGCGCATCGCTCCCATCGCTCCCATCGCTCGCTCGCTCCCCTCCTCCGCCGAGAGGTCCGAATGCGCCATCCGCTCTCTCGCAGCCCCCCAACGTACGTTCGTACCCCGCCTTCGCCCACCCCCCGGGCCGGCCTCGGGCGTTCGAAGGCGCCGGCTTCGCAACTCCAGTCGCGGCGCGGTGAGGCCCCGTCAGAGGCCCCGCGTTCAAATGCGCCACCCGTTCGCAATTCGGAACGCGAGTTCGCGACCTGGGCTCCGAGGTTGACTCCGTTCCGCGCACTGTGGGGAGGCGCGCGAGAGATTCGGTCGCCACCCGTTGTTCACATGCCCCCAACTGAAAGTCAACTCGGATTGCTCGCCTGGATCGGGGAGTCAATGCTCTCGCCACAATGCGTAGAATATTCACAGAAAGGCGTCCTCTGTGGCCTCCTCCTGTTCCGGGCTCCTGAATCACCCTCTCCCCGCATTTTGCTCGCCTCCCTTCACGACTGGCAGCCTTGCGCTGCTCGCTCGTAGGGCCCGGGGAAGCGGAGTGGATGCAATGTCCACCGAATTCGATCGCGCAGTTCTCAATGTCACACTCGCCCCCCTTTCTTCCTTACGCTCCCTCCATCCTCTTCCCCAGTCCGAGACGCTTGGCCTCTTGCGCCAACTCCTTTCCTGCTCCACCGAACATCGACTCAACGCCTTCACCAAACCTTCGACGACCGACTCCATCCCCACGCTTAGTCGAGACACAGTGCTCGTTATTGTGGGTTTCTGCGACATCTCGACCACCTTCAGCTGTGTCGTCTTGAGGTGCCGATAGGAGACTCGGGTGCTGAACGATCACCCCGTTCCTCTCAAGAACACCTCTTTATTTCCATGTTGTGCACGATTTGCAATTTGTTTTCTTTGGGACAGAAACGAGGAGTCGTGGAGTGAACAGAAGATATGGAGGTTCGCAACTGCCCCGAACAAAAGTTATGGGGTTGGAGACAGTGCCGCCAAGGATGAAGAGGGAGGATGGTCTCCTCGATGTTCACCAACTTCGGATGTTTCGACGATAATGCGATTTCCATCAAATTTTGTGCTTGCCTGCTCCAGTTCCTGCAAGGAGCCGCCACAATTCTTCTACTTTGATATTTGGGGATCTTTGTAGCTATCTTGAAGTTGTTATTGTCATCCCTATAATTAAGGGATTTTATAAGGCACTCATAACCCTGTACAGCTCCCCTGTAAGATGTCTTGTAGGCACTGAGAGAAACAATTAGAGGATACCATTGATTTGTGTGAGTTATAAACCATTACCAGCCAGATTTCATTAAGATATACTTCCTTTCGCTCGGTTGTGCGGTACAATACTAACACAACATTTGTCTGGACAATCCATGCATTCGTTTGTGCATCTGAATCTATGGGTACGGGAATATGTTTGATGGACATTCATCAATTCCCGTCCATTGAATGCACATTCATCAAACGTCTTAACGTTGACTTACTGCGGTAGCTGAAAACTACGATCCTTCAAATCCCCAACATTAGCGTCATGAATCTGGGCGACAGTTCGCTAGACCTTATTGGCAGTTGGACTTTGAACCCTGTTTCTCTATCATACCAGCAGGTATCAACTTCTGTATTCATTGTGAAAACTTCTTATTCCACACAACCATTTTCTTAGAACTTATGTGCTTCATACACAGACAAAGCCTGGCATATACATGGGCTACATGATTGAATCCACAAAACTGGCTCATCCCACCTAATGACATTATTATCTATTCAAAAATGAAAATAGGTGGACCTCACCATCATGAAGAAGGTAGACTTCCTAATAGATATAGTATTCTTGTCTACTGCAGTTTGGTGGACTATTTAAGGTTTAGCTATATGCTTGGGGTTTTGGTTGAGTATGCAACTAGAAACTACAGCTATGAAATTCAACGTAAGGCTGATTAGGTGGTGCTAACTACGAAGTGGACGGTGGCTTTCACGGTGGTTACTACCAAATCATCTGTTCTTTGACTATTCTAGACTGATTTGGCTGTATCCGACTGTCTTGGATTTAATGATTCAATGTGTTAAGTGAATCGGAATAATTTTGTGATCAGATCATTATTTTCAGTAACAAATACACATTTTGGTCACATAGCTTCATTCATAACACGTGCTGCTACAATGATAAACATTACAGAGCCTTTATATTAAACAGCTAGTTGAGGTGGCTGTAATCTAAATCATCTGTAATTTTTCAAAACTTCTATACAATAATTATAATATGAAGAATTATATGCAAATTTTCCAACTTTTTATTTCAAATTGAAAATATCATATATAGTGCATAGTATTTTTGATACGTATGTGATCGATCACATAGAGTGTAATATTTTTTAAAAAATCTCACGTGCTTGGTGGATCATACGTCACTTCATGCATATACATCTTGCAAAATTAGCTAACTACGTTATATGATATATATGGTTTTAAGATATGCGGAAAGAGCTGAATATTTGTTAAAAACTCGTATCACCTTTCATCAAAAGAATCAAAGTCATGTTCATAAATTTTACGGAGGTACATTTGATAAAAAATATATATTCTTTACTTAAACATCAGTAACTTAAATTGAATAATACATCCTGTCATTTGTTTGATTATTAGTCTGATCTTACACTGAATGAATTTATAAACTATTATTATTCTGCTTGAATTGAAGCATTGCATTAAACAAGTTTCTGATTTTAATTTTCATACATTGAGTATTATAACTTTGGGATATTACTATTTCAATAAATGGAGATATACTATGTAGAAAAGAATATGAATTAAAAAAATCCAATTTTTGGTCTGTAAAGTACACTTAAAATAATTTAGATTATATTTTATTTCATTTTATTTTTGTGTGCCAGACAGCTCAAGAAATATATTAAAGTAAGGAAAAAATATGAGGTAAGAGTCGTCTGTAATATACTTCTGCATAAACAAATTAAATTCAAATAGTTTTTGTAGCATATTTTGAACATTACAATTATAATGATATATAGAGAGTTTGGTACAATTTTAAAGCACTTCTTTACGTAAGTCTCAATTCATATACTTTAGCCCATCATTCAAGTATGTTAAAAGCGCTAAAATCTATATCTGATATTTCTTTGTTCGATTGATATGAAATTCAACAAAACAAAAATGAACAAAAATACGTGTTTTCTCATGTATACCATTTGAAAATCATTGTTGTAGTTTTTTTATTTTTATCTGAAAAAACAAATAATTAATGAATATTATTCAAATTTAAATATAAAGTTTCATTAAATGATTATATATATATATATATATTCAAAAAATGGATATATGTACATATTTTCTTTTTTACAAATCTATTGATCAAATTCCACATTAATACTATTCTAAGATTTCTCAGATTTTTTAACTGGATTATCATCTACATACAAAATATGTATTCTAATAAAACATATATATATTTCCATAAATTTTGATTTTTTCATGCTATTTTGACCAAAAAAAATATTCAGAATAAAATAATTATCTTTAAAATCACATCAACTCTATAATGAAACAACATTTTTTTGATTGATGTTCATAGAGATCTATTTATTGACTTTATTTATAACAAGCATGCGTCAATTAAAGTGTAGGCTACATTTATGAACATATCTCTCATTGTGTATGTAAAAAGTAAATACTCATTTCATACTTTATCTGATTATTATGAACTATCAAACTAATAAGTTGTTGAAAAATAAAGTAATAGAGATTAATTTTATATGCATAAATTGAATTTATGACACATTTGTCAAAAAGTTTTCTTAACAAAATTATTGAATAGTTTCTAATAAAATGAAATAATATTTCTGATTTATTATGTATAAATATCACACACAAGCTAAAAATAGTCACAAAATGTATCATCTCAATCAATCTTCATCCATTATATTAAAATATGATTTTATTAGCGCATGTTTTTAGTCACATAAATAGTTTCGGCTATTTTTTTTCTAATACATTATTTGACTAGTATGACTTATCATCAGGACTCTCAAAAAACCAAAATTCTATCAATAAGTTATGTGTATTCTGTACTTTTCTGCCATGAGGTTACATATTTCAAGAAATATATCTGTGATAAACAAATATTTAAATAATCTTTGAACTAAAGTTAATCTAAAAAGTCATAGATGTTCACTTTCTACATCCATCGTTTAGTTTTAGGCAAATGATTAGAAATGCATGACTGCAATTCTAAATTTAAAATTTAAAATTTTATCATTTTAAATTTTGGCTACAATCCTTCAACTCCAATGAATTGCATTAAATTCAGTACAATGCGTCATGCAAAGCTGGAGGCTGGAAGATACCGTTTCAACCCACACAGCTCTTACAACATGTTCTATCCATTGTATGTTTTAATACTAAATTTTTCAATTTTTGTACTCTTTGCTTTTGAATATGTATATGTTTTTGACGGAAAAAATTAGGTTAAGACTTGTCAACATCTTAGACATTTGAGAAAAATACTTTAAGATATGATAATTATACACAAAATTTTTGTAGCAACCATCAAGTGATATGAAAAATATCAAAAGTTCTCACTAAACAAGAAGTTAAAGTATTTTGATGTTCTTATTAAACATGCAAAAACTATTGATCAATTTATGAAAAATCTACATGTCGTGATGACATTTATTATTGGAGCTTCATTTTTTAATTTGATTACTGAAGACTTGATTGGATTGGATTATAGATCATGGTCAACGATACCTTATAATAGGTGATAGCCAAACTGGAAAGACCGTTATAGCTATTGATATCATATCGAACCAGAAACAAATCAATGCAAAGGTCAACTCTGATAGTGAAAAGTTGTTTTAAAGTTTTTTTGCTATCCAATCGTTAGCAGAATTGAACTCACTATCAAGATTTGAAGTTTTGCAGGTGTTTGGCAAATTTCTTTCGGAAATTTCTTTTCTGCAATCTGAGCACAATCAAAGTCACACTTGTCAAGAGATCAAGAGGCAATTTCCACTCTTTTGACTACTTGTTTATCCTAGTGGCTTACATAGTTGAAAAAATGAAATTTGTTCTTATAGTTTTAAATTTTGTAAATCCGTTGGAGGTTTCTTGGCAACAAAACGTCATGGATCAAATAGTAAATCAACAAGATTAGCTTTTGATTGTCGCAAATCATGAACAACAACTTCACAATGCTTTGACTGTTTGACAAACTATATGAGTTTAATGAGTCTTTATATTTTCCAAACACTCGAAATAGTTTACATCAACTTATTCAATTATTTTGAGTATTAGAATTTTCATTCTTGGACACAACCATTATCGAAAGCTATTTTTCCACAGCTAAAATGTAAAAAAATATGTTTTATAGATCAAACATCAAACCAAAAACCCTTGATCTAACATTATATTTCAATCAAATTCATAAGCTATTAGAAAATATATAAACGTATTTTACCCATCTGTCTATATTCCATATTTTGATTTAATGACAATATTCATATTTATTATAATTACATAATAGACATAAAATTATCGAAAAAAATTTACTTGTCATTATCAAATCAATTCAAGGTTTTTTATACATAAATTTTTTTATAGCAATTTATTTAATTATGGTGTTATTGAAAAATGAAAATTTTATAATTACATCTAATATAATGTTTTTTTTTTCTAATTGAAAATTATACTAATTATTAAAATTTATGTTATCATTTTTAATCATGAAATGGAAAAATATTATATTGGTTCATATTTTCACATATATTCAATACATGTAGGTCTTATAGATATAAAACAACAATGTTTAAACTTTTTTAAAACATTTATTGCTTCAAAAATAAAAGTAAAATTTTTAAATTTTTTTGGATAATTCTAGATTATTATTAAAATTAAATACCTATGTATTTTTTAATTATTCATGTATTTTGTTCTTTTGATTAGTTCAAAATTATATTCTAGAATTAAATTATTAACATAATATGAATACAAAATATATTTTTTAATGTAATTATTTCAGTTGATATATTTCACTCGATTTTATTTTTATATATATTTCGTAACTTGTGCGATAATAATATAATTTTTTATATTAATTATATTTAACATTTATTTGATTAGTACATAATTTTCAATTAGAGAAAATTAAGGTTCTAAATTTGTAAACGTAGCTATATATCACATAAAATCATGGAAAAATTTCTATCCTAACATTGTTATGTTTAAGCAATATGTGTTTATAAATGTTAAAGCTTAAATTGAGTAAAAAATAATGTAAAATGTGAACACATTGATGTCAAATTTGAATGTTTGATTCATTAGAGAAAATTAAAAAAACAAACAGAAATAAAACAATTTAAATAACAAAAAATGAATTAAATAAGAATCATAAATCGAATAATTATTATTTTAAAACATTATACATATGATTGATTAAAATAATATTATGCATAAGAAATTGCAAATATTTGATTTTAACGTAGTATATATGTATATATATATATATATATATGCATGTGTTAAAACATGTATGGGTCATAATTTTGTAAATATATTTAAATATTTGAATAATAAATGGTAATAAATTTTTGTCCTTTCAAATATATAATAATTTTTAAATATAGATTATCATCATTAAATCATAAATATATATTGCATATAATTATAAAGATATATTTTGAAATATTCAATCTAAATAATTTACTTTATACAAATTTTTATATGTGGAACACAAAAGCTTTATTTATATTATTCATACTAAAAGCATTTAATATTGATAGCAATAAATCTTAGAGATGATTCATGCAACATAAATTATACTTTCATGCATAAGTAAAAACATAGCAACTTTCTTGAAATTTAAAAGTATTTAGAAGTTTCACACTTGCATATTTTCAATATATTAATTTTTTATCAAATATTTATTTTGAACCTCAACAATACATTTTCTACGATATTTAAATTTGAATTTGAATATTCAATATGTTTGATGCTATTTATACAAAATATTTCAACTATTCACTAATTCAATTGTTGAGATTCATGTTGTTATGATGTTACTTTAAATAAAAAATGATATATATATTTATATTTTCCGTGTGGATATATTGATGATACCTATTAATTTTGCGTGCTGAAATCGTATTAAAAATTAGCCTTCAAAATAATACTGAAATCTGATGTATAAAAATGGTAGCTGGAAATTTAATTCATGAAATCATGCAAGATAATTACGTATTAAACCATAAATAATCAATTCAGGTCTATAAATAAGAATCATTGAAATAACTAGCTTATCCAAAACTATAATGAAGTGTGCATATGAGTCAAAATTATACAATTGATGAATATATTGTAATATTACAATATTTCTTTGATTATAAATAGTAAATAGAATGATGTTATATATATAAAACAAACACAGATGCATGTTCACATGACCCGTAAAAAACAAATGATTTTTGCACACAAAACCCAAGTATGAGCTGCGAGAGTGTTTTTGAGTTCCCCTCCTCTTCCAACAACAAACACCGTTAGAGTTGATAATTCCGTAGATCCATCCATTGCCCTGCAAAGTAGGTTGCTCAGCTTATTTACAAGTTTAATTTGGTGATGCTCTCGACCCTATTTGCCACCAGGGATGCCAAATATAAAAAAAAACGATCCTTATTACATAGTAGTATCATGTTTGATTGTGCTTTATGTATATATGCAGCAGTATGTAACAAAAACACACTTGGAAATCAAACTTGGGCCTTTGTGCGGAAAAGCAATTTCTAACATGAAACACTTTTGTGGTCATTTTAATATTGGATGTGATTGTTTAAAAATTTCCTTATATATATATATATATATATATATTGATCGCACCTTTTTGTTTCATATGCTCTACACATAAACGAATTTAATCAACTTGGGTTTATTTGGTAATTGTTTGAAATATATTATACTTAACTTATGTATAGCGTCGATTGATGATTTAGTTTTTATAATAATAATGATACAATTTATTTTTTAATTGAAATTTATATTAGATGTATAAGTAAATGTAACTTTTAACAGAATAAATTGATTTATCAATTTCTAAATCAATAAATAAACTGCATGAATCATGCATAAATTTTGATGATTTATAAATTTTTAATATAAAATTATTGTTTCAAATTTTGAAGATTTTTGATTTATCATTTGTAGGTATTATAATCATCTTAACTATAAAAGTGAAATGTTATTTGAATATATGAACATATTATTAGTTTATGTATCTTTGATCAGAATACGAGAACTGAGATTTTTGCGCCACTTTGATTAAAGAAATAATTAAAATTACATGTTCAAAGAAAAAATTTCAATGTAAAGGATACATGCAGCAGAAATTTGTTTGAAGTGTTTTCATTATGTTATATATATTCTATATACCTTATGTTGATTTGGGAGATTTGTATGAGTAATTTTCAGTAAAAGAATGTGTTTTATACACGGATTTGTATGATTGTACTTTCATTTACTGTTTTGTAAATTAGAACAAAAATCAATTGAACTTGAAAGAAGTATGAGAAAGTTCCATGAATCGCGCAAGTTTGAACTCCAGTGCACATTCATGAACTGGATAAATCCTTTCAGCCCTTCTCGAACGCGAAGCAAGTAGGCTGAAACTATAGCAAAATGTTTATTTTTTGGCCTCTCAAGTTTGCTTTTTCTTGAAAGCCCCGAGAGAGCGCACATCGCTGTCCAGGCAACCCTCCCCACTTCAATGTGTAATAACAAGTGAAATATTGTAAGAAATAACCCAGGTATATAAACTCAATATATGATAAAAAATTTTAAATTTTGTATAGTATAACATGATTGTTACTCTATGGTTCAAATATATTTTTCATCTTTAAAATTAGAAAATGTTGTATCTAAAAAATCTAAAGAATATATATTATAGTTCAAAATGTTGATACATACGTTTATGTATTTTTTAAAATACATGCTGCCTATCGGACACCATTCCACGTAACTTTAGAGATTCGGAGTCCATAACTCCAATACTAAGAATGTCTACTTATTCTAACTCGTTCTATACAATTCTCTGACTGTTGATTTGAATAGGTTTTAGTATTCAACCAGAAGCCAAAAAACCGAAACCTAAAATGACCGGGGACGTACAAGATTGCTAAGAAGGATCGATGTTCAGAAGAGAGTGCGCGCAGTTTCGATCCAAAAACAACGAAGGGTTCAAAGATTACCCATCCTGTCGAGAATGAAATTCCAAACTTCTCCGGATCAACGCCAAGAATCATAGAGGACGCCGCACGTCGAAAACAAGGAAAAGAAAAAGCGAAGGAAGCCACCCAAAGCGCGGGTGCTGGTCAGTGTAATTACTCGAAGAAAGCAAGCCTTTATTCGCCTACCAGCACCGAGGCGGAGTGGTTTTACCGCACGCAAGAACTTACCGGCAGCAGCACACGTGGCTCGGGGTGGCAGGGAGATAATGAGAGATCATGAGCAATGCGAAGGTAGGAGTCATTGGGCAAAGCGCGGAGCTCCGCCTATCCAGAACCCGCGTCGTACAAGAGCCGAGAGAAGAACTAGGAGGCGAGAAATAACGAACGGGAGCAGAGCGAAATATAGGAACATGGGGGCGCGGGCAGAGCGAAGAAAACAAAAGCGATGCGCGCGATGCGAGCGATCCCTTGGACGGGTGGCGAAATGAGCATAGGTCGTAACGTCGAGCAGCCCAGAATCGCCAATCAGGACAGCGCAACGGCCTCGCGGCCTCCGCCTGCCAGCCGTCAAGCGGCTTCCTCCTCCGGTCGCTCGCAGACGCTCTCCGGTGATTAAGGGCTCGAGCGCAGCGCGAAGGAGAGCGAGAGCGAGCGCACAGTGGAGCGCCTCCGGTTTGTCCAGCCCCGGACAGCCCAGCCCCAGCCAGCCCCGCCCCGGCCAGCCGAGGCCCGGCCTGCCCCGGCCCGCCCCGCGCAGCCCAGCAGCGCCTTGGAAGAAGCAGCGAGGGCGCGGCCTGGCACGCTCTCTCGCACTCTCGCACTCTCTCGCGCGGACGAAGCCAATCACGAGGGCACGAGAAGAGACGCGAGACGCAGCGAGCGACGAGGAGAAGTGCGAGTTTGCGAGCGAGAGTCGGAGGAGGAGGTGGATTTGGCGTCGCGAAGTCGAGGGACTTGGTTGGGTGTGCGCTCGAGTGAGAAGGGGAGTTGGTGTCAGGATTCCGCGTGTCGGGGAGGGGAGACGGGGTTGAGAGGAGGAGGAGGAGCAGGAGGAAGAAGAAGTGCAACAGGGTAGCGATGGCGGCAGCAGCAGCAGCAGGAGTGTCAGGAGTGGCGATTGCTTCCGGATGCAGGAGTAGAGGGAGCTCGTCCGCGAATCCTCGTGTGGTTTTGGCTCCCGGTTTGAAGTCATTCTCCTCCGTGTCGATTTCATCATCAGTATTCCTGCGCTCTAGGAGCTTCAATGTACGTAGTGCTGGTGCATTGTACTCGGCAATGTCCGGGCGTGCAGGTTTTGGTTGATGCTTTCATGCGTTCTCCAATTAGCCTGGAATCCATCTGTAAATATCTGGGAATGGTGTTGTTTGCTTCCTGGACATGGCTCCTCCTCGCGTTGTATTTCAAGAGTCCAGATGGCAGTCATTTGATAGAGCTCAGTCGGTCGGTTTCATCTGATTTGATCGCATCCTTGATCTCCTACATCATATTCTTGACGGCAAACGCTTCAAGGACGGTGTGCCTAGTGGCGAATTTCAAATGCCACGAGACGAGAGGAAACCTCGGACCGTAATCATCTCGGCCATTTCTTTGATAGCCATCTGAAGGAGGCGCGCTATTTTCCTGGCAGCTCGCCATAACGTCTGCGGAAGAGAATTTTAAATCTTGTACATCGTTCTCTAAAACAATCTAGTTCAGTTCTGAAGGAAGATGAAATTCGAGGGATTTGTACGATCCTCAATCTGGGAAACCTCTTATCGTCGCTCAGATGCTCACAGGGATCCAATCTTTGGAGCCTCTCCCCGATGCGAGTGAAAGTTGAGATCAGTTCACATACGAGCTTATCACGAAAAAGTTTCTGCACCATGTTTGCAATGTAGAGTCCAACCTTACTGCATGCAGTCCAGTTGGTTTCAACACTCACTGTAACGTATAACGTCAACTACGATGCGACGTTCGCAGACATTTATACCTGCACGCTTTATTTTATAGCCAGGGATAGCGGCAAACGATCGTGCACGGATCGATACAGTATAAGATTTTGGTTTTCCCAACGATATTTTGAGTATTGTCTGATGAGATTCGCAAGTTTACTCTACTTTTTTTGCCAGTCTATTGTTCTTTTTTGCTGTGACGGCCTGTTTATCCATCCAATGTCTTTCATGTTGGCAGCTGGTGTTGAATCCCACTTTCAACATTGTGTCGGTTGGTTTGTAATAGCTGCGAACGTAGATGCTCACACATGATCTGATTCAGGCTAGCCTTGTCGTGCGCATCATGCAGGTTTCGAAGGACAATGCATACGGAATCACAACTTCTGCCACCAAGCTGGAAGTTGCTCCCGTCGTTGAGGAGGAGAAGGAGGTTAAAGCCGCGGAGATCCCCCCAGTTCTAACTCCGGAGGCTTCAGTAGCTTCCTTCATGACTGATGTAGCCAACTTGGTCAAGTGTGTACTTCGTCCCTAGGTCCAAATCAGTTGTACTTTCTGATTCACGTAGTAATATTTCATGCTTTGACTTATACCTGTTTGTTCTGCCGGCCCTTTTTCTCCTTTCAGCTTTCGTTTGACTTACTATGAAGTTTGGACAATGCTGCTTCTCAGGAGACGCTACATTTCATTTAATCTTATAACTCAATGTACCATCAGCATACACAGACGGTACAAGTCGTTGTCTGTTGCACCCCATACTGCACAAAAGCTGTCACGCAGGCAATCACTGACATGGAGGTGTTTTTCTGTTAGGTTGGTGGACTCCAGAGATATCGTCGAGCTTGAGATGAAACATAAGGACTACGAGATCATCATCAGGAAGAAGGAGGCATTGCCACCCCCACCTGCTCCCCAAATGTCGTTTCCTGGTCCCCACGTGATGGCACACACTTCGTTCCCAGGATACCCTGCCCCACCTATGTCACCCCCACCTGCTGCGGCAGCTGCTCCTGCACCTGCTGAAATCGTCCCAGCAGCACCCGCTGCACCATCGGCGCCCCCTGCTTCACTACATCCACCCATGCTTTCTCCCATGGCTGGAACTTTCTACAGGAGTCCAGCACCTGGAGAGAAGGCATTTGTGCAGGTGAGAACTAAAAGAGATAGATCGAACTTTGGTTGGTTTCATCCTCAATCGGTTGCAGTCTATTCCATGTATACGTTTTTCAAATGCATCAATGTGTCTCACTCACGAGTTTGTTAGAGCTGATTTATATCTTTCGACATTTCAGGTTGGGGATAAAGTTACCAAGGGTCAGGTTGTGTGTATCGTAGAAGCCATGAAGCTCATGAACGAGATTGAAGTAAGTATTGAGCTCTTCACAGTGTACTTTAAGGGGTGTGAGTGCCGAATGTTTCATCCGCAATTTCTTACTTGGTTTTGTATGAGCTTTACTAATATTTGTCATGTCGGCAAACCAGGCTGATCAATCCGGTACCATTGTGGAAATTGTGGCCGAGGATGGGAAGCCCGTCTCTATCGAATCCGTAAGTCTAATCGAAGTTCAATCAAAATTCTGCATTGCTGCCATTGGCTTTTCTGGTCTCTTAAGAAACTCTGTCCTAGTCAAGGCTTAGTTTTGGTCCTTCTTATTCTTATTGCGAGTTTGTATATTGAGTTCGATTGTAGGTTTCGATTTGTCCCCTAATTTTTCATATTCGCTGGCTTTTCATCTGCAGCCGCTCTTCGTCATCAAGCCTTGAGATGGAGAGACCGAGTAATTTCCAAAAGAGTTGATAGAAGAATGCAGAAAGTAGACATCATGAGAGTAACATGAAGATGCTTGATATTCGGTTCAGCACTGTTCTCTGGGACGTCCTACAAGCTACATATGACGATAAAATGGCTGCTGTCAAATCTCCCAGGTGAGTCAAGGCAACAAATGTGTACCATCAGGGAGGTGTAGCTTCCAGTGCTGTAGGAACTGTCATGTTATTCCTTGGTTCAGATGAGCCAACAATTGAGTAGTGTCAGGGTTAAAAGAGTATAAGAATTTTGATGATTTAAAATTGTGGTCGTTCTCAATGAGTAAAGCAAAGCTACTGTTTGCCTCCCGAGTTTGCTCACGACATTTCATTCCTTCATATATCAGAATGGCCATATGACTCTTTTGCAACCACGGAGACAACTCATTTACAACATTACACTTGGGTTTGGTGATGCCACTGATTTTAGTTTCTCAGTAATTACAATTGTCAATTTTACATCTCAAGGGAAGACTCCACCGACACTCCCAAGTAAATCATCTGCGACGGGAAACCTTTCCTTTCAATATGCACACCAATCTTTAAACAACCTCCCAGTAGGTTAACCGATGCGCATGAGCTACACGTCTCAGGAGATGCTTTTCACATGAGCGAGACCAACTCGGCGGCTCTAGACCAAAAGTACACGTCAGCAAGTACACGTGGAATTGAAGATTTTGACTAAAGGCAGAACACGTGCACAGAATTATCCTTCCCACTGCACAGAACGCTGCATCCGAAGATGTCGGCCTGAAACGATTCAGAGTAAACCAGCAGACATTTGTACAGCTTTACTTCAGAGCTGGCATTAGGCCAAGCTGGTAGTATGCGGAATAATAGTCGATGTCAGTAAGTCCTGATTAGCCGACTTTGTTTTTCTTTGTGGAGAAATAAGCCGGAGTTTCAGAACACGGGTTGCATGCTATTAAGAAACTGCTTGCTGTCATCAAGAAGCCACATAATATAGATGCAGGCCACTGGGAGCATGTTGGGTAAAGATTAAGTAGTTAAGGCAACAGAGCACAAGCGACAGGAATCACGGGAGAATGGTGTCTCGAATTCAAGACATTTCAGAACGTGATTCTCATGTTGGGAAACTTCCAAAGATAGGAAAGCCTAGAGCCAGAGTAGCAAATATTGCTGCTCTGGCAAAACTAGTCAGTCATTGAAGCACAACGTTCCAAAGCATCATCACAATCTCGTTTGCCTCGCTTCAAACTGCTCATTTATCAGAATTCGTGATAAAATACATTTCCAAATACAAAATTTCAAGAAAGTTAAAGTCTGCATTTCGATAAATTGTGTTGACAGACGTTTATATCATTATGAAATCCCACGTAGAACATGAAAAAATAGTTGATTTTCTCTTCACTTATATCCCCCAATATCCACGTTTGAACTTATAATAAACAGAATGCTAGTAAATAATATTATTAGTCTTCAATTGAAGGACGAAAATCTTACAAATAGGAGCATTCACTTTTCATCATTCAATTTGAAAATCTAATGAACAGCAATGTCTTTGCCAATGTATGATAATTTTGAAAGATGAATAATTATGATAAGATAAATACTAAAAACATTAACCTTTGCTACAAAAATTTCTGATAATTTTTTCAATCCAATTTCCATAATAAAAATAATTCCATTCAAGGAAATTTTTAAATAAATTTTAAGCTTCGAATTCATGATAATTTTACACATATAATGAAAATCAACAAGCTTACATGTAAATACATGTCTCAATTGATTTACTCAAAAAGAAATATTTCATATATTTTTTGATTTAGAATAATTCAAGTTAATTATTTTTAAATAAAAATTAAGAGAGAGAGAGTATATTATTTTCTTTTCATGAGCTTATTAAATTTTACATTTTCTAGATTAATTGATAGATTAAACAAAATAGTATAAATTTCATCAACTTATCAATCTATATTACAAAATTTAACGAATTTTGTAATATTTTAATGATAATTTTTAAGACACTGTTAACAGCTGTGATTGTTTTAATGTCAACAGTTAATAAATCTTTTAATAAATGATCCACTACATTACAAAAAGTTCTAAAATCCATATTTGAGATGCAGTCTACATGAACAAAATCATAAATTGAATAATATTTAATTTGAATTTCATCTGTATTTAAATATAATAAAAAATTATGATATTTTTCATGAGACAATAAAAATTAAATTAAATAGTAATAATGCAAATTTATCTTCATTTGAAAATTTTAGTATCAAAATAAAACATGAGATAGGAGTTTTTTAATATGATGATTGTTTTTTATTTTTAATCCACATGAATAAATCATAATATTTATTTTCAGTTTCAATTCTTAACTATTCCTTTGTTTAAATTATATATGAAATTTTTTGAGAAATTAATGGTTTATGATTTTTTACAATAAATGAACAAACATGTGTTGATTTCAAGAAACATGAGTTAAATGGCTTTCAAAAAAAATGTCTTCAAAGTTAAATGAAGACTAATTTCAAATTTTCAGTATATTTTTTTGAAATAAAAAAATGATCCTATAATTTTCCGAATTTTTCTTTTTTAATTTGAAAATATCACATATGAAATATGTTCCAAATTTCATTTATCTTTTCATGACATAAATCATTCAAATGAAATAGATTGTGAGAATGCTTCAATTTTTTGAAATAAAAAATATAAATGTTACTCCAAAAATGAAAAATTAAAATTTCGATCAATAAAACTTATATTAATAATTATAATGTAATATATATTATTATATTATAATAGAAATAAACTTTTGATATCTTATCTATTAGTTTAGGGAACTTTGGAGCAGTAAGTGAATTAATTGCAAGCATGACTCATGTACATGTCATAACAATTTGTTGTATGTTCACTTATGTGTTTGTGTTATTTGTCATGAAGATTTTTAGAAGCAAATCATATATGCAGCTGACAATCCATTACTAGAATATAGACTTTAGTACAATAATGTCATCTAGATTGGATGAATTTATATGCATGCAACTACAACTCTTATCCATGTGGCCAAGTCCTTAGGGTGCTGATGTATCATCCGATAAAATGCTGGGTTCCAATTTGGGTTTATGATGACATCGCACACGTGTGGAAGGATTTGGCAGCGGGGGTCAAGGGACGGAGTTATGCAGGTATCACCTTCGGATTCTAGACAATGAGCTTGTAGTTCATGTTAATTTAGAAAGCTTCGAAATGAACGCTGCTATTGAACGCTGTTCAATAGCAGTCGTATTGAACAGCTTGATTCAATCGAATTTCAATCAATTATTATCATAATTTTTTATTCACATTTGTATATTTGGCGCCGGCTGTCCATAACCCTGGTCAATGAATATTGCACTGTATAAGAAAGCAAAGATTTCGCAATGGAAACAGCCATTTAAAACCATAACTTCTTTAGCCACATAATTTTACGAGAGTAGTGTATAAACAAAGTACCTGAGATATTATTCCAGTCACACAATGTTTCTAAGAATTGTACTTATCTGCAAATAAACCTCTCATAGTATAAGGTTTTTTTAGCTCAGATGGGATCATCATTGAAGTTCAGCAAATGTTCTAGCATTTTTTGTGGCCAGTTACAACTTTTTATGAAGAGCATGTGTAATCACAGCTAGACTTCATATTGTGAAGATCTACTAAAAAACGTTTTTTTTTTTGTTAATTCGTGAAGTTTCAAATATATTGCATTTTGTTAAAGGAGGCATATCACCACCTTATGTTTGCATGCCTTTTAACCATATCTCTAATTGATATTTTATTGCATGTAGTCTACATCTTTTACTAGCAAATTTTTTGTTATTTCATATGATGTAATACTTCCTTATTTTGTTGATGGTTGATTCATATTCATAAATTGAAAAAAAAATTATTACGGATTTTTAAATCTGGAGTTAATGAAAAATTTCCAATTATCATCATATGAAATACATTAAAATTTTTATCATCATGTTTTGGGATATTTTAGCTTAAATTATCAATTTTTCACAACAATGAGATTTTTACTAGGGCTTAAAAATATGTATGCATGTTAATATGATCGAATGCTAAATGGAAAAAATTAAATAAATGACTCGTTGGTCAATCCAAATATCAAACACAACTTCACGTGATGTAATATCAAACAATAAAATATCAGTATGAAATTATCAGTCTTAAAATCGGAATATATTGAAAGTATTGTTAACATTGAAGTATTGGATTCAAACTAAAATTAAATTTTATACCTAAGTACACAAATTTTATTATATCATATGATGCATAATAATAAAGTACAAAATAAATATAAAAATTCATCAAATATTATAATAATAAATGCATGTGAACAAAATCAAAATAAAAAAAGCTCACATTTGAAGTGTAAATTTTTCCATAATTTCACCTCAAATGTGAAGATTTAAATATATTTCATTGAATGTGCAAATTCATCATTTATTATTTTTTAAATATTAAATTTATAATTTCATACGTTTCAAAAATATTCCAGTTGTATCAATAACACGTTTTGAACCTTTGAATTTTGATTTATCTGTTTGTTTGGGAGTAAAATGTGTTTTAAATTTTCAAATTGGGTTTCATAAAAATTAGATTTGAAAAGTCTACAACCTTCAAATTTCAATATGAATTTATTTATATTATTGTAATGTATATACATAAAAAAATATATTTTATTTCATAATTTTAGATTATTAAAAAATTCTAACTCTTAATATTTAAAAAAATATCAATGAAAATATTACATTTTTTTGTTATGACATTTTCAATGCTTTAATGCCTAATATCTTTAAATCACATTATTTAATTATATGAAAAATTTGATATTGATGATAGATTGAGTTGATTAAATTGCTATTAAAATTTTTGTTATTTCACGATTAAATCCGAAATAAAAATCTGTTTCCTGAACTGATTTTTGAATTTGAACAAAATAAACCAAAAAAAATATTATATTGTTTATAAATTAGTTAAAGAAATACATATAGCAATAAAATTGAGTTCATTCATGTATATATATATTATATCTTTGAAGTTTATTGAAAAACTTGAAACTTATTGTTTTATAACATAATTTACTTTTGATGAATTTTGAGTTTACCAATACGTTATTAAATGTAAAATTTAAAAATTTCAGATATATTTATAATTTTTATACCGAATATTCTGAATCAAAATAATAACAGAAATTAAATGATTTTGCATATGATATCGATTGAACTGAATTTTTTAAGTTAAAAATTAAATTTTTTTTCTTTGAATAGATTTGTTAGATACAAATATCAAAGTATTAGTTTTATGATATTTTGATGGTTGGGTGTGTAAGTAAGAGTTGAAGACTATAGAAAATCGACATCAATCATAAATGTTGGTCTTTTGTGAAAATAATGTGTGTTATGTAAAATATTGATAAAATGCATGCAACAACTCAGTTAGTTTGAACACTAATTATCAGTTGATTGATTTGAATAGCAGAAGATATTCAAAACTAAAATTGATTCAATAAAAATATCGAGTGTTGATCGAGTTGAAAATCGACTCCATTAGAAGCAAAGAAAGGAAAACTGGCAGCAAGTTGGCCTTGCTGGGGCGTTCACACAATGTGAGGGATGGAAGACCTCAGTGAGGACTGTTATGACTGTTCATTGAAGGGACGAGGATGGAAGCTATTGTTGACGTTTTTGCATTTGGAAAATGCATTGGTGCTGATGGCACAGTATCTATAGACTGTGATGTTGGATGCGGAAATATGATGCTTGATCACAATTGTACGAGCACTTATTCACACGATGGATCGCATTATTGGAGAACTGAGAAACCTTGTATGTGAAGAATTCCGAAGTTTTCTTAAAGATGTTTCCAATTGCTTTCTAAAGAAGGACGACGTGCTCGTATGCACATCCATCGGCCTTCCCGACGGCACATCATGGTCGTCGGGAAAGATTTCGCCTGCTTTAAATGGAGACTAATGAAATCTGTAACAGTTGACGAAGGAATTTAGTAGTAAAGACCGGACGACTTGAGCGAAATCCTTGTTCACAATCAATATTTCATTGTGTCATGTACGGTACTTTATCTTTAGAGAACAGGCAGCAGAACACGGCTACATGCCGTCGTGACTCGTGAGGGAGTTTCCACCGAAGAATCTCAACGATCCGAGGATCATGATTCATGATTCGCAGAACCATCACAGAACGCACTTCGAGGGAGTGTTGGTAGAGCAATCCCTCTTCGACGGAATGTGTTGATGCGTTGAACATTGAGACGCTCATGGGGGCGACCTGTGCAGGACTATGCAGCAGCAGAAGTGCGCACTTCATGACAGCGCTCCGATTCACGCACGCCGGAATCGTTCTGTTCGATCGGCCGGACCCTGCAGCCAGCGAGCGACGTCGGCCTCGATGCTCCCCTCCGAGCTGCAAGAAGAACATTCGATAACCGGCTCGAAGCCTCTTCGGTACAAGGACAAATGCGAGATGGGTACGATGCGGTGTCCCCAAAAAGCCCGAGGCCTCGGCGTCCATCATCTGACCGGCCAGAAGCAAGACGGAGGTGGGCTGCAGCCGGTTCCGTTTTTAGATCTGACAGCCGGTTTAATTTCCACTTCAGTTCCCGCAGTAGCCGCTGTGCAAGAGAAGGCTCACGAGGTCGACGACGACCGAGCGCGCAGTGGCCACTCGCGGCGCGAAGGGAGGGACCGGGAAAGAGAACTTGATTCTCCGGGACGGAGGAAGTTGTCGAGATAGACCGGGAGACCGGCCGAGGAAGTAACGCGAGCCTCCGGAGGGCCCAAGGTGGTGGTGGTGGGTCAAGACAGAGGACCTGGTTAGCGAACTTTATCCTTTCTTCTTCAACTGTAAGCTGCGGGTTCTGACAGTGGGGATAAGGACAGGCGAATACACGCCGGCCTGAAATAATCAAAGGCCGAGGACATCGGTGGGCTCAATCGAAGCCTCCCGACGAGTGGCGATCGCGACAGCAGATCTCCGGGTCGCCGCTGGCAACCCACAAGCACCGGTCGGGGCTTTGGAGACCATTTAAAAGACGCCACGTGGAAGACTCATCGGTCGTCGTCGTCGCCGCGGCGGGAGAATGGTCGACGGGAAGCGCGCGATGTACGGTCGGTGCAGCTACCGAGCGCAGAATATGGAATAAATATTTATGCAGCGCTCAGGCCTCGGAACGAGAGAGGGCGTGCGCCCGGCGGGCGGGGCCGCGAAGCGAACGTCGAGTCGTCCATGCATCGAGCGAGCGAGCGGGCGGACGTACGTACGCACGCACCGGAGGACACGTATCGAGTGCGTCGTCGTAGGTGACCTAAAATCGTCGCCGATGGCCTGGGCTCTCTCTGGTCTGGACAGTAGCCGGAGGAAGGAACGATGGAGCGACGGAGCGACGGACGGGGCCGGTGGGGCTGCTGCTGCGGGCGACGGGTAGGTGGAGCAGTGGACGGGAGGAAGGAAGGAAGTAGCTCGCTGCATGACAGAGGTGCGCGGGTGGGGGTCGGAGTTCGAGGGGGTATCCGAGAAGGGGGCCTGGCTGGAATGAGGACGAGAGAGGCCGGGAAGAGGAGGCGCGAGGTAAAGGGCCCGAACGAGGGGCGGAAAAGGGAAAGCGGCGACGGGGATTGGTCCGACGCCAGCTAGATTGCCAGGCGCGCATGGGAGGATCGAAAGCCAGGACGGATGGAGAGAGAGGGCCGGACAGATCGATAACTGCAAGGGGAAGGCACGGGAAGGCGGGAGGGGGAGGACTGCGAGGGGGGGTGGGTTCGATGCGGCGGGACCGGATGTGGTGTTCTTGGACGACGACTCGGTAGGCCAGCCAGAGCTGCAGCAGCAGGACGGACGCCATGCATTGCGCTCGCTGCTTCACCTGCTCGCGGTCCTGCGTGGCCGACTGCCTCCTCACACTTTTGCTGCCCCGTCCGCGCCCCCGGCCCCGCCCCCATGCCTCGGGCCAACGTGGCCGAGGCCATGGACGCTCGCGAATGTAGTAGCATCCCTCCACGTGCTCGTTCTTGCGATCTCCTCTACCCCTCCCCCGGCTTCGCGGGCCTTGCTGCTTCTGAGCTCGTCTCGTCGGCCCCTGTTCTATTTCACCTCGCTCGAGCCCTCTCGCTGCTTTTTCCCCATTAGGGTTGGTCAGTCGGGTCGCGTCGTGCGCTCCGCTTTTTGCTTCTGCTGGCCCCGCCCTCGCCCTCGAGCTCCTGCACTGACCGGTCGGTTGGATGGTTGCCGAGATTAAATGGCGCAAGCACTCGGGCTCTTGTTTTTTTCCTCGATCGCGGTCGCCTGCGCACATTTCGTGCCCGTCCGCCAGTAGATTATCTTCCCCCGTTCGCCCGGCGTCGTCGTCCTTCTCCGCCTGCGCTCTGACTGGCCTCGCGCATCGGACAATCTGCTGCCAGAAGATCAGTTCTTATCCCCTACATCGTTCTCGCATTCCGTTAGCCAGCGGTCCGAACCTTCTTTGTCGCCCGCCTCCGGACGCCCGAAGAGTGTTGCTTCTCCCGGCGTGTCCCCGCTCTCATGGCGTAGTAGCCAAGCACCGATCGATCGGGCCGAGGCGTTGCTGCTTCGATCGCCTCGTGTCGTGTCGATGCAGGCCGGTCGGTCGGGTTCCCCGCGATAGCAACGGGGATTGTTCTCGTGGTTTCTCTCGGAGCCGTGTGCAGGTCGCGATTTCTGCCCAGGGATTCCCTCCGGGCTCGGATGCGCCGATGCCATCATCTTCCCAGTGCGCGATGCGTCGCTCGAACTGTGTGTCGATGAGCAGACGGACGCGTTCGCCTGTGCAGGAGGAGAAGCGGGCGTCTTGAGAGTGAATCATGCGAGGTCGCGCACTCCACAATGAGCCTCGGAAAGGACCGGAGAAGATCAGCGCTTCGTCGATACCATAGCCTGTGGTTTGACTTCAGGTTGAACCGGACTTGCATTTTGCTTCCTCCTCTCCCGCTCATCTGATGCTCAGAATACGCGACGACGGCACCTCGTTTCTGTGTTGTGCAGCATCGCCGTGTCGTCTTCGTGCTCAGTGGGTTTCCAACTTCAAGCTCATCCTAGCTATGGTTACCACGCTCTCACGCTCTCTGGGAATCAAACGTGCAGCCTATCCGTCTCCGCGTGGACTCCCATTCCTGCTGTTCCTGTTCGTGGCATGCTGCGTTGCGAGGATCGAAGGATTGGGCTATACGAATTCCATCGCAGCATCGTACGGAGATTTAGGACAGGTTTGTGCAATTGAGGCGAGTGGTGAGCAGGTCGTCTTATGCTGGGGGAAAAACAGCAGCCAGGTTGTGCAGGCCAGCTCCACACAGGTTTCTTTCGTGGTGATCACAGGTGGCGAGGGATTCGTTTGCGGATTAAGGACAGGTAGCTATAATCCATACTGCTGGGAAGGCAACTTGTCCACCACGAACAGTCTTCCCGATGTGTACCAAAATGTGAGCTACTCGACCATCGCTGCTGGGGAGCGTCACGTATGCGCAATCCGGAGACTGTCAGAAGCGGAACGGCCCGGCGAGGTTGAATGTTGGGGGGAAGACGAGCGTGGAGAAACAGACCCTCCTCCTTTCCTCAAACTAAAGTCCTTGGTGGCCGGCAGATGGTTCACTTGTGGCTTAGACGACAGTCACCATGCTAAATGCTGGGGAAGTGACGAGTACAGCATCCGAACGAAAACACCGTCGTGGGAAGAGTTCGACAGCTTGTCCGCGGGGACCAATCATGTATGTGGCATTCTTAGATATACGCAGAAAGTCAAGTGCTGGGGAGATAATGGCGCTCAGCAAGCGAATCCTCCATCAAATGTCTCCTTCGTCGCTGTTTCGGCTGGCCTCCATCATTCGTGTGGTATCAAGGCTGACACACATGAAGTTGTATGCTGGGGAGCGGCTCACATCTATTCAACAGAAGTTAAGTCGGGAACCACTTTTTTGGCTCTCACTTCTGCACCGAATATGACTTGTGGAATCCAAGAGGGCAGTCTTCTGGCTATGTGTTGGGGAAATGGGATCGAGTACATGCCGCCGCTTGAGCTCTTTTCTCCTGGAGTCTGTGTTTCTAGGGATTGTCAAGCTGGGGTGGAGTTCTACTTCAACGCGAGTGCCAACATGAACTTACCTGTCAGCACCGTGGGTACAATTTGCAGAGACTCGTCCCAGAAAATTTGTATTCCCTGCGCTAAAGCTTGCCCTGCCGGTGAGTTCCTCTCGAAGGAGTGCGGTGGTGGTGTCGATCGCAAGTGCACCGAATGTGAATTGTGTCATTCCACCTCCTGTCAAGATGCTTGTGCAACCTTTTCTCCTCCTGTCCCCAGCCCGCAACAGCAACTACTTCAAAATAATGCGGGCCATAAAAAATCTGGAGGCGCGGCTACAATAATCGGAGCTGCAGTCACCGGTGGCCTGGTGGTGGCAATAGTGGGAGCGTTGGCTTTCTGCTTCGTCTATCGGAAAAGGGTTCGATACCATTTTTGGGGATGTGCATCGAGGGAAAAGCTTTCTGAGAACGGAGGCATCACCCCTCCAGAGTCGAATGCAGGATCGAATGGTGGAATGAGGAGGAAAGGAAATAACCATGAAATATATCGGATGCAAGCTTTTCGGCTGGTGGAGCTCAGGGAAGCAACGAATGGATTCAAAGAGCTGAACGAGTTGGGACGAGGTAGCTACGGCTTCGTGTACAAGGCCCTTTTGCAGGACGGGAGGGAGGTGGCCGTGAAGAGAGCCAATGCCGCGAGGAGAATTCAGAGCAACAGTCGTGACTTCGAAGCCGAGTTGGAGATTCTGTGCAAGGTCCATCACGCGCATTTGGTCAATCTAGTGGGCTACTGCGAGGAGATGGGAGAACGACTTCTCGTGTACGAGTTCATGCCGCACGGCACTCTTCACGATCATCTGCACGGAGGTCTGGCACAGCTCAACTGGAATCTGCGGTTGAAGGTGGCGGCTCAAGCAGCTCGAGGAATCGAATATTTGCACAAGGACGCATGTCCTCGAATAATTCACCGGGATATCAAATCGTCCAACGTGCTACTGGACGCGGAGTGGGGGGCCAGGGTAGCAGATTTTGGTTTGGCGCTTCCGGAGAGAGAAAAGGGCCCCCCTCCTTCGATGAAGCCCTCGGAAGTGGCCTACGTGGACCCCGAGTACTTAATTTCTCAGAGCTACACGGAGAAGAGCGATGTCTACAGCTTCGGCGTCGTGCTTCTGGAGATTTTGTGTGGAAGAAAGGCCTACGACAACGACTATGTTCCGGCCAACATCGTCGAGTGGGCGACTCCCTACATCAGACAGGGAAAGAGTACACAAATACTTGATCGGAGCTTGGAGCTGCCGAAGAACGTAGAGCCTTTGATTAGAGTAGCAGAGATTGTGGAGCTCTGTGTGAGATTTAATCCGGAAGACAGACCATCTATGTCGGATGTTGCGTCCTGGCTGGAGCTTGTGGGTCGGAGTTCCTCTTTGTAGTATAGATACTGAGCCCTTCTCTAGAGGAAGGAAAGAGAGAATCGTTTACGTGTATAACTATTTGTAATTTATTATCCCCCTCACTGTGTAGGAAGAGAGACTAAGATACCGGAACTCTTTTTTCGATCTAGGACACCTTTCCTTCTGCTCAAATTCAGCAGAAAAGTGGGAGAGCAAGGCCGCTTTGTAAAGTGCCCGTCTTACAGACTGACGACTCCGAGAGGTTCCACCACGGCCCTTCCCACTTCCGGGCCCGATCCTTGCGAGAAAGGTTCAGGGCGGATCATGGTTCATGGTTTGAAGCCCGTGCGTGGTTCATAGTTCTTAATTCCTTACATGTAGAGTGATCAGCGGGTCAAACATCGGTCGATTGGAACGAGTATATATTGTGACAAATCACGCCACTAGTGATGTATAGTTTCAGTCGCCAGATTTACGAGGTGTAGTGCGCACAGAGTGCTCAGTCCAGTGTACCTGTTGCCTCATTACACATTTTTGGGAAAGTTCGTTCTGTGTCATCACCTTTTACTCATCAAAATTCGAGACCATTCGGCGTTGGTCTCAGTGCGTTCATTGAAATGTGGCCGATAAATGTTTGATGAATGAATGACGCGAAGGACATTGGACATTAGCAGTCACAGTGAGGTTTCACTTTTGCTTTCGCATCATTCGTAGCCTCGCAGGAAGGTACTTGTCAGCTCCATACCCTAAATACGGGCATTGACTTCGGGGAAGAAAAGCGGGAATCGCGAGTTTTTTCTGTGTACCGTCGTCGACCGATTGCTCCTTCCACGATAAAGTCACCACCCGATGTCTAATGTACATTGCTCAGACACTCACCCATGAACGTCTCTGCCATGTTGGCGGACTACGCGGAGAACCATGTCCATGAGCGAGATCAAGGGGAAGAATACAGCGCCCAAAATCAGGCCCGGGACCTGCACGAGGTCTCGGCGTATGGAATCGCGCTCAGATGCCACGATCGAGATTCGTCGGTGGGCCGGGTTCACGGAAATCTGTTCATCCATCGACTAAATTCGGAACTCGATGTCTTCGGTATTCGAATTGGTAAGCTGTAAAATTTCATGCAACTACTAGTAGAAGATGCATGGCCCGACGTATGCAGGACCATACAGGATCCCCCGGCACGCAACTCGGGCAGGAGGCACAGGCGGGTACTCCGGCCCGGGGGGACGATACGAGGGGCACCACACCCCTTCCGCACGAGAAGGATCATCACATGCCTGCACGAGAAATGAGGGCGCACCTTGCGCAACTTTTTATAAGCAGATTACGCTCGAGGATGCTGGAATTTCAGCGCATTACGGGTCCTGATGCATCATTGCCGATTCGGGCCGGCCGAAAAGCTTCGTCGTTTTATTCTGAGGCGCCTCGGACCCCACCAGGCCAGTCTGGAACAGGGCGCAATTCAAACCGGAGCGTGGGGCATGTGAGCACAGTTTGCCTCTGTTCTCATCCCATCTTCGTGGGACTGTTCTGCAAAGTCAGAAGCATCGCCATGCTGTCCCGCGGTGGGACTGGCATCGACCACTCCTGGAGCCAACAAGTCCTCTCTCGCTGTGTAATCTGTACTTCCACCGAATCTCCGCATAGAGAGAATCAAAAGCTTCGTCGGAGCTGTGCCTCGGTTTCATCCGTGCCGTGTTCCATCGTCGATCGAATATCCTCTAACCGCCCCGATGCGGCTGTAAGTCAATTCCCTTGCCCTTGCCTCAGTCGTCTTCCCCCATAGCTGGCCGCCGTGTACCGGAGTACATTGGCAACGTTAGCGACCGCCTGGAGCACCAGGCCTTTGGCCGGTTCTTTGGGCCCCCCTCACCTTTTCCTCGTCGTCTGTCTGTCTTAAACTCAGCGTGACCTCGGCCTCAAAAGCTCATCTCCGCGTTCCCACGTTAACTTTGACTCGCAACAAAGCGCGATTAAGAGCCCAAATATAGCCTCGCGCTTCGTTTTCGAGATCACTGCAGTGCGTCTAATCTTACCGCAGTGACTCGGTTTACAACAACCCCAGGTCATCATCACGTTCGTCCACCGGCGCTGTAAATGCCTGTCTCAAAATCCCTGTCTTCAGGGAGTGCTTCGGTCTTCGTCCAGAGCAGCTTTTCTGAGTTTTCACCCAGTTCTTTTCCGCTGTCGCGGTTGGACCCCTTGGAGCAAAGCTGCTCTTCTTTCTTACCAATATTATATTTCTCTGAGTCTAATCTGTCCTCTGTGCCATGGTGATCTTCGGCGTACCGTCCAGCTTTACGGCTTTAGTTTAGCTTCGAGGTCAAAGGCTAAGGCGTATGATAATCTTAGACCCCATGGCTTGTGTGGACAAAACATATTTTTGGCTCAGACACATTTGCTTTAAACGCAGAACAATATTTTTGGCATTGACTTAATCCGTTTCAGAGAATTGATATTCTCTTGATCAACAACGGCTGAAGGTCATCCGTCATCGCCGTGAATTCCTGGCGTGACTCTTATGATGTCAAGGTTGGCATTAGTGCATGCAGCCATTCTTCCAACACTCCGTAGCCAGGAGGAAAAAAAAACGAAACTTGGTGCTCACACAAAACAGGCAAACATGGTGCGCTGAACGATCAGTAAGGAGAAGCGATTTCAACCCATATGTTTTCTACATTTTGTAACTGTCGTTACTTGACTTCAGCCAATGTGGATGGGGTCAAAATTCCAGGAAGTTAAGGCGATGGAGGAGGAAGTCCAGTTGTTGTTGATCAAGACAATATGAATTATTCGATCACTTGACTTCATCCTGCATTGATACTTTTTAAAAAGCTTACATAAAGTGATTCATCCACAATGGTTGACACTACTTCACCATGACTTGGCATGATAGTAAGATAAAAGCGGTGTTCACAGGCTTGAGAGCTCAAGCCTGTGAAGACCTGGTGATTCCGTCATCCACCTCCTTGGACTTCCATAATCAAGTAAGAGGTCGTGTGGGCGAGTACGAGGCTATTATCTTTTACTCAAACTCCGGTTGCACAATTTATACGAACTCTAGCAGCATGTCTCGAAGTCTCGTCAGCTTAATCCTCTTGGCAGAACTGAACTAAGTTCAGTCCCCACCAACTGGTCCAACTACAACACATCCAACTCCTTGCCACTCGTCTCCGTTTCTGATTAACCCTAATTATCATTCTAGAATTGCAAGCTCCCATCACCTCCCTGTCACTGGAGTCTCCTGATAACGAGCAAAATCTAGACCCTTGCTGCGAAGAAACCGAATAATCAAACTCGGGAAAGAGGAGGAGGAGGAAGAAGAGCTCGATTTGAATCGATGCTAGGCTTCAGCAGCATTGGACCTGAAACACTCGAACATGGTGTAACTCCATTGTCTCTAGAAGTAGCAGCAGAATACCATACCAACGGAGGTTTAAGCTTGAGAAACATCAAAGATCAATTGGACTCACGGTGACAGTGATGCTCCCTTGACATTTGCATCTCTTGGTTATTGGATATTCTAGAATTGTTTTGAAGGACGCAGAAGACTTCTTTAACCGACCTTGCTTGCACAAGAGGAGGTGCTTGTTCCATGTTCGGCTAGTGAGACCAAGCATGCAAGCTACAGTGAAACTGTTGTTGGCTGTTATGTCAGCCATACATGAAATTGCAAGTATTCTCAAGCTTATGACGAGACAACGTTGAACATGAAAGTCGATCGTTTTCTGCACTAGTGGAAGGAGTGACTTAGTTTACTTTGAGCTTTGAAAGTTTCAAAACAATGCTGTTCGTTATTAGAGAACAGTCTTTTGCCTGACCAGAAACAGAAAGAGTAGATTGGAGTTGTATTTGGATCAGGTAGAAGTTGAACGTATGAGGAATTTCTTCCATTTTGAATTTTGAATTTTGAATTCATTTTTGAATTTGGAGTTGAAATTCAGTCAAGTGGAAGCAATTGTATTGAGAGAGATGACAACCAGGAGAAGAGGCGATGTTAAGTTGGACATTGCCAAGTATGAAGGAAAAGTAAAGCAAAAAGCATGCTTAATGTTGACGGTTTAGATAAATTGTTGAAGCAAAGAAACGAGATTATGAATTTGTTTAGCAAAGAGATATGCTAAACAAACCTGTAGATAATATTGTCTTATATCCTCTTACTTATGTCATCAACTAGTTGAATAAATAGATATAACTTTATTATCTCTTTGATAAATTTCAATCGAATTATCATATAATTTTCTTTTCCAAATCTCATCTAATTGTAATTGAATTTGATTAGCTTCCATATGAAAGACAATGAGACTAAGATATAAGATCACACCAATATGAATTCCTATAATTTTGATGACAAATTGAGTGATGAGACAAAAACTCTTTATCGGTTAAATTCATTTTTTAACCAAGCTAGGAAAAATCTCCTTCAAAACTAATACAATTCATTTGAAACTAAGCGCAAACTTGACACTAAGCTTTCTTTAGATTCAAACATATCAATAAAATTCTTGTAATCGGCAAAATTGCATAATCATATATGATTAGATTAACAATCTTGCAAAAATGTCTATGTAGCAATTTTTTGGGTCAATTTTTTTCTTCAAAACAATTCCATCTATGCAAAACTTAAGCCTAAGACAAGTATCATGTCGTAACCTTTTTTTATGAAAATAAATTGATCAAATAAGTCAAAATTTATGCATAGTTGATCAAAATATACTCATAGATGTGAATTTCATTCTAGATTTTAGATCAAATTTTCAATCTTTTCATTTTTTCTCTTCCATGTTATCTTACATTGATGAAATTTTCTTGGATTTTTTTTTTCTTTCAAAAATTATCTCTTATTTCTATTAATTTCTTTCAAAAGTTCAAAAATTAAAAAATCTGTTTATATCATCAATGTAAAATATTACATGAATGAATTAAAATTTGTATCTTCCACTGTTTCATGTACACAAATCATACATACTGAGAATTTTTGTGATTCTGTGATATCATCAAATCTTGCATAATTTTGTTTTGAGTTTTTTTCAATCCTTAAAATGATGTAAACATTCACAAATTGATTAATTATATTTTTTTTCCAAAATCAACACGTTTGTTTCAAATAGATTGGATGATTTTAAAGATATTAAGTAATATTGTTAAAAATTCAATCAATTGTGTTATTATTGAAGTAAATATTGCAACAAGTGCAAATATTAGTTAGGATGAATACATGTGAAAAATTTCTTTTGTAATACATTATTCTTTCTTGTGTGAAGTCTCTAATCAATGATATCTATTTGAAATTATACTTTTAAGATTTTGTATTGCTTAAACCATGTACATCCATTTGTTATCAACCAAAATTTAATTTGGAAATAACATTAATTTTCACGTCTTGTTATGAATAAGTGATTGATATCATCATCCATAGCAAAAATCACACACTTTTAATTCCAAATATCTAAGCATCTATATAAATTATGTATTTTTTTCCAAAATCAAGACAATTCTAGTACAATCTTTAGTCTCTTTATCATAAAAGAGTTTGAATGAATTATTTATACTTCATATTTGCGCAAATTTTACAAATTCAATTTGATGATTTCATCATGTAATATAATATTTTAGTTATAATGAAAAATATGTCGGTTTTAATTTCTTCCTCTTCAAAATTTTTTGCTCTACTTAAAAAATATATTTCTTGTGTTTGATCATAAAATCCTTAATGA